CAGGAGGTAAGAATGTTATTTCAAAACAATTTGAAAAAAGTAAACGAAAGTGATTAACTATTGGTTATTTCTCCAGCTGTTATTCTTAAGATATCAAATACTCAGTTTGGAAGACTATGTATGTTATTCACTGTAATACTTATAATTATTTCCTCTACAGTGGTTATCAGGTCTTTACTATAACCTATAATTTATTTTTTCCCCAAAGTAAGCATTTTGAAATAAAAAAGAGAAAGTATAAATAAATCCTGCAAAAATTCAGCCTAATTCCATCTGTCCAGCTGTAAGTAAGACAATTCGTATACAGTTGGCCCTCTGTGTCCGCAGATTCTGCATCCGGGGATTCAACCAACATGGATCAAAAATATTCGGGGCGGGGGGAAAGAAAGTTCCAAAAAGCAAAACTTGAATTTGCCATGCACCGAGCGCTACGCTGAATCCATGCGAATGCAATGATGTGTAAGCATACCCTGTTGTAGCCTCCCACCATTTCACTGATCCTCAGTCGCTCTTAGCACTCGCTGTTTGAGCATCGTTAGCCTCTTGTCATGTCATTATTTCCTAAACAGTACAGTACTGTATAGCAACTATTTACATAGCATTTACATTGTATTAGGTATTAGAAGTATATGGGAGGTTGTGTGTAGGTTATATGCAAATGCTATGCCATTCTATATAAGGGACTTGAGCATCTGCGAATTTCGATATCCACAGGGAGGGGTGTCCTGAAACAATCCCCAGCAACCAAAGGACGACTGTTCTTTGTTTTAGGCACTTTTAGTTGGGGAGAAAGAAATGTAAACAATAAAAATTACAATATATGGTAATGGTGGATCTGTTTGTAATTTTACTTTTATTAGACTTAAAATCTTTGACTCTGAAAGACAAATCCATGTATCGGAGTTGCTTACCCCTTTATTTAGCTTATTTCAGATTGTATTAGTTTCTTAGGGATGCAAATACCACCAACTGGGTGGCTTATAAGAACAGAAACTTACTATCTGTTCTGGAGGCTGGAGGTCTTGAGATCAGGGTGTCAGCTGTGTTGATTCCTCTGAGGCTTTGAGGGAGAATCTGTTCCATGCTTCTCTTTTAGCTTCTGGTAGCATCAGGCATTCCTTGGATTGCAGCTACAGCATCACATAGCATCCTTCCACTGTCTCCCTGAGTCTGTGTATCTTCTCTTTTATAAGGACACCAGTCATATAGGATTAGGACTGACCCTACTCTAGTATGACCTCATGTTAACCTAACTGATAACATCTTCAAAGACGCTATTTCCAAAGAGGGTCACATTCATAGGTATAGGGATTAGGACTTCAACATATCTTTTTTTCGGGGGGACACAGTTCAGTCCATGACACAAATGAAATCAGTCTACTTAGGAAAACAGTATATTGGAACATTTCTGAGTTGTCTATAATGAGATAATTTATTTTGTATAGTTGTGAACATAATTAGTAGTCTATTAAAAAATAAATAACTATGGGTCAATGCCGGATAACACATGGCATATTTATTCTGTACAGCACTGAGCACATGATGCATCTGATGAATGGAACAACTGAAAATATTTTGAAAGGCTTATAGATTTGAAACGAATCATCCAGACTTAATCTCTCTGGAGAGAAATCTAAAACCTGGTATCTAAGCCTGATATCTAAAGCCAGTAGGAAAATAGCACAAAGAGCAGATTGTTTTCATTCATGATATCCCAAGTGAAGCTAAAAGTAAGGCACCTATTTTCTCAATGCACAGCTCAATGCATGCATGGGAGTGCCATTCCTTTATAACTATAGATAGCACTGCAATTCCAAATCAGGCCCCTGCTTTTTGTGGACATTCTCTAGTGACATGCACAGCCTACAGTGTTCCTTAAAGACTCTAAGGGGAATTATAAAATAAATAAATTTGTCAGCAAAGGAGACTTGACAACAACTGAGTCTCCATGTTTAGCTCCTATACATGTTTTTGAAGAAGATATCTTAATAATATTAGACAATAGGAATAGATAGGTCTTCAGAGAAATAAAGCAGCATTTACAATCAAGTCTGTTAGTCAACATAGCACAACCTGGCAGGTGACGTGTAATGTCTATAATATAAAATAGGAATTGTAGGTCTTAAGTAGCCACAGATTGAATGTGAAATAATAGCATGCAGCTCCCCTGGAACTTTAAATTGGATAATTCAGATAAATGCTTCCAATTTCATTTAGATTCTAGTAAGAATTTTCCCTTGTTTTATGCATTATCAGATTATTGTTGGCCAAAGTAAAGTATTTTCACTTTTAAGAGGTTGATATTTAGGTTTCTTTTTCTTCATTTTATCTTCAATCGGAGGCATTGTTAGTGACTGAATTTTGTAATTTCCTCTGTGGGAGATACGTTGTAAGGATATTGTGCCTCTGGTCAAATGCTGTAGCAAGGACTTCTTATCTACTAATCTTAGGAACTTTATGTCACCATTGCCTGGGAGACTAAGGAGAAACATCCCCTTTAAACTTCAGAACTTTTCTCTCTTCAGCTCTCACGTTGTATCCTTGGGATCCAGTTGTCAGAAGTACAGCCCACACAGTGAACTATTTTAAACAGTATAAAATATTTTTATGTGGTAAAAACATAACAGGGAAGTGAGTTACAGATAAATAAGTCTCCAGTTATTTGGATAGCTTTGAATTACTTAGTATGGCCCTTCTAGCCATAGTCTTTGTAACTCCCACCAAATGACTAGATAGGACTATGCAAATGAGGTGCTGTGGCCCACCAAGGGGATTGAGTAGCTTGCTAATAATGTAAATAAGGTACATGGCACCCTTGTGGGGACGGGACCATGCAAATAAGATGTTTGGAACCCTAACAAGGGGATTGGTCAGTTTTGCCATCCCACTAGGCTTAAAAGAGAGCCAATTCAAGAACAGAGAGGGGACCTCTTGACCATCAAGAAAGAAGAGCTGGGAGTGGAGCACATCCTTTGGACCCGGGATGCCTGTGCTGAGAACCTCCTAGACCAAGGAGACAGAGAGAGAGAGAGATGTAACACTAGAGATAGTGAGAAGCAGAGACAGCAGAACTGGGAGATCAGTAAGAGCCAGTGCAGTGAGCTTCCCAGCCCATGGAGCAAGAAAGATGAGCACCTTCGGGCAAGAGGCTTGCTGGAAGAGTAGGGTGCCTCCAAGCACTTGGTGGAGCTAGGTTTGTGGACCAATAGAGCTAGAGCAGAGTGCCTTCAGGCCAAGGCTTGCTGGCAGAGTGGTGTGCCTCCGGGTACTTATTGGCAGAGCTAAAAGACCTTTGTAACACTTGGCCTGAGCAGGGCAGGGGCTGAGCTGAGGATCCGTGGGCCGGAAAAAGGCCTGCCTGTGGGCACGGCTGAGAAGAGGCTTTCCTGATCTAACAACTGTATCCTGAGCATTCCTGAACCTGAACTGTAACCTGTTACTTCCCTGATAAACCCCATAACTGAGTATGGTTATGGGTTCTGTGTGGCCATTGCAGCAAATTATTGAACCTAGCAGAGAAGTAGAGAGTGCTGTGGGAGGGATGGTTGGTGTCAGAATTGGTAAAAAGGTTAGAAGGAGGGAGGCACGTCTGTCCTTCACCTCATAGGAATCAGCCTTGGGCGGTTGATGTTGATAATGATTCTCTCTTTGCCTCCTGAAGTTAGATGAGGAGGTCAGACACCCCTGCTGCCACACCATTTTTACAGTAGCCTAGGACAAATTTAAGACATTTATCATTTTCTTCTAAGTAGACTCTAATTTACCTCTTCCTTTTAGCCCTAAACCTAGGGTTCCCTGACATGTCACAGTCCTTTTCCTGTTTTAGATTGAGCCTTCTCCTGGTTATATTTCATACTCCCAATTCGGGTATGTAGGCATTTGACACTGTTATATTGTGAATTTTTGTTGGGAATACCTAAGTAATTTTTTTCAAAAGTGAAAATAACTTTTTTGGGGGGATGGCGTGTTGTGATAAAGAGGAAGAGGAAATTCTTTCTCTACTTGACTTTTATTTGAAAGGTAAATGGCAAGTACAAGATGGACCTCAAGATTACTTTTCAGATAGCTTTCAAGATATTTGTAGTAGGTGTAGAGGAGCTGGATGGTTTCTGGGACTTTCTAGATCTATAGTCTTGATGGGTTTAAGGGCTGTTCGTTAATACTGTTCATCAGAAACCTGGACTGTTTATTTCATATTAACTTTTAGATGTGTTTTATATTCTAAACCTTTAAAGAGTGGGAATTCATGTATATGATAATACAAATATGAGTTAACTAGGCTGATAAATTAACCGAAATAGTACCACTTTTATTTATTAGAGTATGTATCAAGACAAAGACAAAGAAAGTTTTGCCTATCTGTAGACCCTACAATAGTAGTTATCAGATTTTAATGAGTTCCCTGAGGAGCTTGTTACAGTGCAGATTACTTGATTCCACTGCCCAAAGTTTGGTGCATTATGTATGGGTTTGAATTTAAAATCTGCATTTCCAACAAGCACTTCAAATGATTTGGATGCAGGATGTTTTAGGACCACAGTTGACAAACTTTTATCCTGAGATTAAGACTCCGACTAGTCCACTGCAGTTTTACAGCAGCTGTTGGATAGTAGTACATGATCTAAGTGTTCTAAAGTCTGCCTTTATTGTCAAATGATTGCACAATATTATAACTGCCATTAAAACTTTGATGTTGACATTAATATCTAATTTTATTGCTGATACCTCCATTCTAGTTTTTCAGTATTTTATGTTCAGAGGAATCTCATGTATGCCTGGAAAAATATGATTTACTTAAATAGCTACTTCTATTTATTTGAAAATAGTCTGCAGGGATTATTTACTGGTTTCCTTTGGTAATTAGTAGCTCTTTATTACCTGGTTTATTTATTTATTAATAGAACTAACTTAGGGCAAGTTTATTTCTTAACCCATTTGTAAAGAGGTTTAGAATAAATTACTCATTTAAAAATCTCTTCTTAATTATTTTTTTTTTGTAGGATGAGCTTTCTGATGTTAGCCAAGGAGGATCTAAAGCTACCACTCCAGCATCAACAGCTGCTTCAGATGTGGCAACAATTCCTACTGATACTCCCTTAAAAGAGGATAGTGAAGGATTTGTGAAGGCTACAGACACATCAGATAAGTCTGAGATAAGCAAACATATTGAAGTACAAGTAGCCCAAGAAACTAGAAATGCATCAACTGGTAAGTGACCCTAGTTCTTTATTTACTGGCAGAGTAAATATTCACTTAACCCACATGATGTGGGCATGAGGAGATATTTTTTTGGGAGTGTTGCCTGATTTACAAAATGGGTAGATAATTCATTCTACTCGATTGTAAATAAGCTTAAAATTCATAGAATTTTCTGAATACAGAATCATTAAAAGAAAAGAAAAAAAAAAAGATGATTAAATAAAGTTTCAGAGAAAAAAGTATTGAGCGGAGGAGGTTGGAGAGCCTGAAAGGCAGGAAGACAATCCCTTTGTCTCCCCTGCCTTAGGGCATTAGTCTTTGTCATATATTCCACCCCTTAAGTAGAATGAAAACAGGGAGTTCTGGCTAGGACACATGGCACTGTGCGTCCTAAGGAGCATGAATGAAAACTTTCTTTAGTTACTTCGTAGTTTCCAACATTGACTCGTAACTGAATATAGGACATATTATCTAACCCCGTGTTTCCTAGAACTTATTCTTTAAAATTTTTTCATTATCAAATGATGTATTTACAACCACAGAAGCAACAGGATTTTCGTATTAGAGGCACTCACTATGTGATATATGCATTGTTTATATCATCTGGTTCTTTCCTAAGGCTCTGCTGAAAATGAGGAGAAGTCCGAAGTTCAAGCAATCATTGAATCTACTCCTGAGTTGGATATGGACAAAGATCTCAGTGGATATAAAGGCTCAAGGTACCAACAAATGTCAGATGAAGACATCGTATCTTTCCTTTCTCCTACTCCCATAGCACCCTCTTTTCTGGTTTCTGACCAGACAAAATGGATTCAACTGAAGAAATGCTGTTAATATATTCCAGTTTCTATTCTTTCTATGAAATGTTAGCCATTTGCAGCATCAGGGATCAGGACTGAATGGAAGAACAGGGGAAAAAAATAGCCAAGAGCTTTCCCATACTTTCTGAACTTGAGGAAACAAAAGAAGCAGAAGTGAGGGAAGTACTATTTGAACATCAGGAAGAAGAGAATGTACTTCTTTTAGAAATGTAATGATCTCATTGTTAGAAGAAATTAGTCTCATTTTAGTATCATCTTCTGTGGAAAACTTGTTTAATGGTGGGAAGAAAATGGTTGTCTATCACCTCAGTCAGGGTTATCGGAAATATTTTGATGTTCAAGAAAGTCAAACAGACTCACTACTTGTCTTTTAATTTCTTCTATAAATTTTATCTATTAATTAATTAGTAATGACCATAAGAATACATGCCATTTATTGATCACTGCTAGACATTGTTCACTGTGTGATGGTGTAAAAGTGTGGGCTCTAGAGATGCACTGTGTGGGTCCAAATCCTGACTTGGATTTTAATCTTAGGGAAGTTTCTTCATTATGATAATACATCAGGGTGGCTGTGAAGATTAAATGAATGAATATATGTTAGATTATTGGCAAAGTTCAATAAAAGTTAGTTATTATTATTGTTATCATTGTTTTATATAGTTTAATCTTAACGACAGCCTTAATACAAAAAATATGAAAAGCAAGTTCCTTGCTCCTGTCTACCCCTCATTCTCACCCTGAAGAGGCAACCTCTATCACTTCTTAGCTCTCTCTTTTCTGCTATTTATCATCAGCTTTCTAAATAATTACTGTCCCTTGTCTTTCTTAGCTGGGGTTCTGTGAGAAAATTAAGTCCTAATGCCTTAAGGCATTGCTTGTATGTAATGAATTAGCTGACCTCCTGTGCTATTGTACTAGCTATCTACTTTCTTGGGAGAATTGAAAAGCTAATCACTCAATTCATTTTTTGTGTCCTGTGATCAGATGAGGAACAGTGGTTGAGAAAGGCTGCGACATTAGCTGTTGTTAATTTTCTACAGTGGAAGACGATGAGGATATAACTGCTTAAATCACCATCCTGCCTTTCTTCCTCAGAATATCGTTGTATCTCAATTTTTGCTTAACTTAGTATTAAATTCGTATTCATTGTTTATATCATTATGACTGTACAAACATTAATCACAGATTAACCACAGAATATACTGTGATTACATTTACCTTCCTTTTTATTTTACTAGAATTAATAAATACTTGGAGCTTTTGTTTGTTTTTGTCTTGTTTCTTTTGCTTAAGTTTCTGTGTACTTATTAGTAATTCAATGACAGATACTCTCTAAGTATGACCAAACACAAAACCTATCCATTTCCTAGAGCTCTCTCTCCTGGGGCCTTCTATTCCCATTCTCCAATCTAGACTGTTGTCACATTTGATCTTGGGATTTGCCCTCATTAACCAAACCTGTTGGTGTTGAGTTGATTCTGACTCACAGCGACCCTATAGGACAGAGTAGAACTGCCCCATAGGGTTTCAAAGGAGGGCCTGATGGATTTGAACTGCCGACCTTTTTGGTTAGCAGCCTAACTCTTAACCACTATGCCACCAGGGTTTCCTTGCCCTCATTATCATCCTGGGAATTCCCTTCACCTCTCTCCTCTGTTGAATCCTGTTTCCTGGATCCCATGTCACCCTATTTCTTGATTTCTGCTTTTGTTTTGACAGAACATATTCTTCACTAGTTTTCTGGGCAAAGGATGCATGGGAAGTAAATTTTTTGAGAACTTGACTGTGACAAATGTCATTTGAAGACATGATTGATAGTTAGGCTACATATAGAATTCTAGGTTGGAGAATGTTTTCTCTCAGAATTTTGAAGCCATTGCTCCATTATCATGTTGAGATCAGTGTGTTGCCATTTGGGTTCTTGCCTCTTGGTATATTCTCTCAGGAAGCTTTTAGGATCTTTGCTTTATACCTGCCTTTTGTCTTTTTTTCTTCTTAATTCATGATGATATGTTTGGCTTAAAGGTCTTTTATTCATTGTGTCTTCTTATATGTAATAAGTCCTTTCAACTGGAAATTCATACCTCTCAGTTCTGAGAAAATTTCTCTATTTTGTCTCATTTTTGTTTCTTCCTCTTTCTGGAACACCTCTTAGCAACTTGATGTTGAACATTTTGGTCTGATCCTCAATTTTTTATTCCCTGTTTTCCATTTCTTCTATTTTTGTTCTGTTTTCTGGCTGATTTCTTCAACTTTTTCTTTCAGCCTCATTGTTTTGTTTTTATAGAAGTGTCTTCTTTTTCTTGGATGGCTACTTTTTATAACATCGTATTATTCTTTTATAGATGCAACATTTATTCAGAGAAAAATAGTTTTGGGTTTTTTTTGTAGTTTTCTTTGCTGCCAGCATTATTTCCTTTTGCTCTGAGTGCCTCTCCTGGACTCCATTTGTTTTGGGCTCTTTTATAAAAGAGGCTTCTTTAAATGTCTGGTGCTCTGTGGCTGTTTTGCTTAGATTTAAGTAAATAACACCGATTCTGCAGACTGTTGCCTGTAACGTTTAAGGTAGCTACCATTGGTCAGGGAGCTGTGACAGAAAAATGGAGTTCTCACCATCCCAGAGTGTTGGCTCTAGGTCTTGTACTGCCTTTTTAAATTTGTGTATTGTGGCAAAATATACATAACATAAAATTTGCCATTTTAACCATTTTTAAGCGTACAGTTCAGTGGCATTAATTACATTCACAATGTTGTGCAGCCATCACCGGTATTTATTTCCAAAACTTTTTCATCACCCCAAACAGAAACTCTAGTACTGCTTCTTATACAATTTTTTTGACTCATCCTTCTGTTTTTTGTGCCCCTCTGTATGCTCATCTTTGGAGATTTCCTGGTACCTTTGAGTTTTGGCCCTTTCAGGGGTTCTGGCAGCATATTTACTTCGTTGCCTACTCCAGAGGTTTGGATTTCAGCTGTCTCTAATCTGTTAAATCAGGTTCTCCTACTTGCCCATCTGTTTTCCATCTTACAGAATTTTGTTCACATCTTGTGGGCATATACCTTTTTAATTCCTTTACTATCATTTTAGCTGAGTTTCTGAGTTATGGGGTGATAATTGACCGTGTTCACTCTACCATATTTAACTGGAAATCCTGTGCAGACTTTTCTCTGTTAACATAACATTAATGCACAGATATACACACTTTCCCCATCCCCCTTCCTGCTCCTGCAAAAAAGGGCTCATACTATGTATACTGCTTTGCAACTTGCTTTTTAAAAAAACATTTTTATGATGGATTTCTCTCATTTATAAAACCCTATTGTTTTTAACTATAAAGTTAAAAACTGTAATTTTATATGTATATCCATAAGTTATTTAATTTGTCCCCTATTAATAACCACTTCAAGGAGCCCTGGTGGCACAGTGGTTAAGCACTTGGCTGCTAACCAAAAGATTGGCAGTTTGAACTCACCAGCTGCTCCTTGGGAGAAAGATGTGGCAGACTGCTTCCTTAAGGATTACAGCCTTGGAAACCCTATGGGGGCACTTCTGCTCTGTCCTACAGGGTTGCTATGAGTTGGAATCAACTTGACGGCAGTGAGTTTGGTTTGTGGGGATTAATAACCACCTAGGTTGTTAATAACCACTAAGCTTTGCTATTATAAAAATGCTGCTCTGACCATCCTTTTACATACATAATTTTTTTTTTTTTTGTGATTGGGTTTTTTTAGGACATATTTTTGATATGGAATGCTTGCATCAATGGGTATTTGCATTTAAAATTTTAATAGATACTGTCAAATTGCCCTAAAAAGAAAAGGCTGTGCCATTTCGCACCCCAGACAACATGTAACATGAATTCTGAAGCCAAACTTCTGGGTTTGAATCCTGCCCTTTCCACTCATTTGCTGTATGATCTCAGCAAATTCTTAACCTTTTTAGTTTCCTCATCTGTAAAATTGGGATAATAACAGCACTACTAATCTACTTCACATAAAATTGTTTTATTTAATCCTCACAACTACTAGAGTTATGAGGATTGAATTAGGCAATCTGTGGAAATCACTTAGATGGTGGCTGGTACAGAGCAGACTAGTGCCCTCTGCTAGCTGCCATTTATTTGTGTTTGCTGAGCTTTCACAACTAAAACAATATGTATTGTCTTCACCAGTTATCTCTGTGGAATTTAGTGGGAATTTCTTAGGAATCCTTTGAGAAATCTTATTTAATTATATTTTATATTAAATGTAAATTACAGTTAAAAAGCCCTAGGTAGCTCAGCCTAGGTATTCATTTTACAGTGTCAAAAAAACTTTGTAATCTGTTGATTTGGCTTTATTGTTTTTGTCATATAGCACTCCTACCAAAGGCATAGAGAACAAAGCGTTTGATCGCAATACGGAATCTCTCTTTGAAGAACTATCTTCAGCTGGCTCAGGCCTAATTGGAGATGTGGATGAAGGAGCAGATTTACTAGGTATGACACTCATCTGAAGAACTATCAAACTGTTTAAAAATAGGTTTTAAAAAATGATTTAATTGAAAATTCATTTAAGATGTCCCTAACCTACTCAGTGGCACAGGATTATTGCACTTTAGGTAATTACTGGAAAGGTATTCTTTCAGGTCATGAAAGTTAAAAGTGAAAGCATCTTCACATATCAATACACCTAAAATTGAATTGCACTTAAATTTGTATTTTAAATTCATGTGATACAATTTATTGAACTTGCTGTATTCCATGAACAATGTTATACGTAAGGAACACAGGGATATGTATGTGGAAGTGTGTGTGCACGTGTGTGTGTGTGTGTGTATGTTTAGGCGTATGAATTATGAATAATTCCTAGTTTAAACAAATTTCAGTAAATACTGTTCACCTTAATTAAATAAGAAAAGAAATTTAACATTTGATTTTTCTGAGATTTCACAGAGTATTATGTTTTAGCTCTCTTGGGAAATGTAATCATTTTAAAATTTGTGTTGTTGAAGAACATGTGATTTGAAAAGAAAACTGCATTTGACTCTTCCACTATTTATCTGGTGACCTTTGCCAAATGGCATAATCTCTCTGGATCTTAGTTTCTTTGAAGGAGCTGGACTCTATTTCAGGGGTCAGCAAACTGCAGTCCATGGGCCAAGTCCAACTCACCACCTATTTGTGTAAATAAAATTTTATTGGAACACAGTCATGCCCATTTTTTCACTTATTCTCGATGTCTGGCATAGTTGAATAGTTTACACCATACATCAAATGGCCTGCAAAGCCTAAAATATTCATTATCTGGCCCTTTACAGAAAAAGTTTACCAACTCCTGCTCTAGGGGATCTCTAAAGTTCCTTTCAGCATTAATTAATTACATGATTCTGACTCTTGTGAATTAGCTTTGGTGCACCTTTCTTTGGTTTACTTTTAAGACTTCATAGAATCAAAAACCTTAGAAGTAAAAACTTGTATCTTTGGAATAGGCGTTTATATACTGGTCTCCAAAAAATTTTGTATCTATTAGCATAATTTTAATATAGACTACTCTGTTCTCAAAAGTGGCTGTTTGTCAGTTCTTATGACTATAGAGTGGCATTGCTTGCTTTAATTTATGTTAAATTTATTGATTACCAATTATGTCCTTGACACTGAGAACTGTTTTTGAAAGAAATATAAGTTCTGTCCAAGCAGAGCTCACATTCTAGTAAGAAAGATTGAAAGTATGTAAATATAACTATTCAGAGTTAGACATAAAGGGACTATCACCATTAAAGTCTAAGTAAAACATTGCAAGAAATTAAACGAGCTGCATTTTTCAAGGAGGGCTAAAAAAGATTAATTCTTATGGAACGCTCCATTTTTACATTTAAATTTACACCTTTAATTCTACTTAACATCAAACTATACATGAAAAGTTCCTTGTAAGATTTGATTAATTTAAGAACCAGACTTTCAGTTCCTGAAGAAAAACCCAGCAAAATTGAGGGACAGATGTTAGAAAGAAGAATTTAAATTAAAAAAAATTTATTTTTAAATTTACGTACAGTAAAGTTCACTTTTTGGTGTACAATTTGGTGAATTTTGGCAAATGCATAGAGTAACCACCACTAAAATCAATATTCATTCCTCCCAAAATTCCCACATTGCTGTCCTTTTGTAATCAACAGAATGAAGTACTTTTAGAATGTGATTTGTATACACTACTGCTTTATAATCCAGTATTGAATAATACAGTTTTTGAGACTGTTGGCCCCAAACCTTCTTTTCTTAGAAAGAGTTAAGAAGCCACATAGTACTTAGAAATAATTATGGTCTTTTAAATCAAGTATCTTCTGAAAGTTTTCATCCTTTAAGTCAAAAAATTGAACATAATAGATTAAAAGAAGAATCCTCATATTCTGATTTCCTTTCCATTTTGAAGATAAGAAGTAGAGTATAAACTACTGGCCTTTCTATTTTGCAGCTATTGGTATATTTATCTCTAGAATGTTCTGTATTAGAAGATTTTTATATACTACCTTTAGTGACTTACATCGACACAAATACTTTCTGGTCAAAAATGGTAAATGAACTTTCCAAGGCACTTATTTGTTCCTTGACTTCTCTTCTGTACAATTCAGTGTTAGTAGATGAAGGTAATATTTACTAAATGGAAAATAGTGAAACACAAAATCGTTCCCCAAAGTTCTTTAATTGACCTGGGATTGATAAATAAGTACATAGCCCATTTCTATAACTCATTCATTTTTCTTATTACTATAGCATTATCAAACTCTTGTTGTAGGATTTAAATTTCTTTAAACCATTATGTGTATATACTTAGTACTTAGATTACTTTTTTCTGATTTTAATAATTTGAAAGAACTCCGAAAGTTTGTCCTTTTTCTTGACTTATCTCTATCCCTTAACTTCCTTATTTTCAATGACTCTTTGCTCCATTCACTTTCATCAGTCACTCCCCATGGCCATGTTCTAGAACTTGGAAATCACACATTCATACAACATACTCGTTGAATTTTTATTTCTCTTGATTATCTTCTGTTTTCAATTTCCATATATATACTGACTTCTTCCCATTATTATTTAAACATGTTCAGGTCTTTTCCATTTAAAGATAGAACTACTGCCCTGCTCTCACCTTGTATCTTCTACTACCTTCTACCCTGTCACTCACTCTCTTTTCATTTCTAGTCACCCTTTTATGTAACAAGATTGATGAGGTGTCTGTTAAGTGCTAGGCACTGTTTGAGATGCTTGCAATACATCAGTGAGCAAAACAGACTTCTTGGAAGTGTGGCTACTTTAATTGGCAGAATTTCCCTAGTCCCACTTGCTCCTCATCCCACTGCAGTCTGGTACGCTGTCCCACACTCACTGCTGCCAGAAACTGTTCTTGCTATCATCTTCTGTTTGTGATATCCAGTGGTTCCTTCTCAGTTTTTTTTTCGTATGTCCTCTCAATAGCGTTTGTCTTTAAAACTATCTTTGCTGAGTTTCTGTGATATCAGACTTGCCTGCATCCTTTCTTACCTTTTTGACTGTTTCCTTTTAGTCTTCTTTCAGGCTTCTCTTCCTTTGCCTATCTTCTAGATAATTATATTCCATTCCTCCTGTCCTACATCTGCTTCTTTGTTAGGGAAATCTTATTTGCTCTCATTGATTCTTGGCTTTCATGACTGATTACTCCCAAGTTTTTATCTCTATCCCAGATCTTTTTCTAGAGCCCCAGGCTATTATTTCCAAACTGTCCACTAGATACTTCTAAGATGATTTGTAGGACTTTACACTTGACTTGGAGTCCCTGGGTTGCACAGACAGTTAAGTGCTTAACTGCTAACCAAAAGTTCAAACCTACCCAGGGGCCCCTCAGATGAAAGGCCTGGCAATTTGCTTCCAAAAGCTCACAGTCTTGAAAACCCTGTGGAGTCCAGTTCTCCTTTGCAACACATGAGGTCACCATGTGTCAGAATCGACTCGACAGCAACTAAAAAAAAATCTGGATACTTGACATGCTTAAAACTCAGTTCATCATTTTTCTGTCCCCCAAGGCTGCTCTCGCACCAGTGTTCACTGTCTCAGTGAATACATGGCCTTACCAGCCACTCGTTTCTCCATCCTAGACCTCTTCTATTTCCCCTATAATCACTGAGGCTTGTTTGCTCCTTGTCTTAAATATACATTTATTTTTCTTGCCTTCGCTTAGATGGCATGTCCTCCAGGAATTCTACCTTGAATCCCCTAAATAAAGTTTAGTTGTCCCTGAAATGTATTCCTATGGAACTACATTTATCTATTATGCCACTTTTCACACTTTATTCTAATTGTTTATGTCCCTATCTCCCTGGGTAGACTGTAAGCTCAGTGTGGCCAAGACAGCCATGTTTTTCTTGCTCACTGTTGAATTTTGAGCACATAGCACAATGACTAAGTGAATGGATGCTAAATAGTTCCAACAGTTTGGTTTCATTTCTAAATCTGTGATTCTTCACCTTTCAGGAGTTAAAAGTCCTTTACAGGAGAATATTTAAGTGAGCAATATACTTTTGGAAAAATGCACATATAGAATTAAGTAAAATTGTACATAAAATTTTAAGGGATTACCATATAACTCTGAAGCCCATCGATAGATCTCTGTTGAGAATTACTGCTAAAAATCCAAATGACACTTCTGTGATTTAAAAAACTGTCAGGCAGTTTTTTGTTATTAATAGTTAAAGTTTTCAAATATATTAGACCTAAGTTTATGCTTGGTTTAGATCTTGAATAGAAATGGGTGCACTTCAAATTATGTTTTTCTTATAATGAATTAGTTTTTATCGATACATTTGAAAATGAAAATATCTTGACAATCTTTTTGATCGTATATTAAATCTGTACACTAGATTTTTAGAGAACTTTTCATTGGGAATGTGTAAATGTAATGTAAACTTTAGAAACTACACCATAAGGGTATGTTTCCCATACAGCGCATATTTCTTTTTTTTCTATTTACAATATTTACACTTTATTGCTTTTAGTTAACGGTTTCTCTACATCTTTTCAATTTCTTTGTCTCCTCTCTCATTTTAAAATAAATGAGTTTAGCCCTTGCTTTCTGAAAACAATCTAATTAAGATTCTCATTCATTTTCTCTTGGGCTGCTTACCCAGGGGAATATTCTGGTGTGTATGCTTTTAAATACTTTAATATTACTGCTTTTTAAGCTAGGTGTTCTTGGCCTGCTATTCTCATTTGATGCTTTCTCATTTTTTTTTGCTCTACTCTATATTTTTTTTTGCCCTACATATATTCTCAGCTTTTATGCTTATTTCCCTATGTGGTTGAGAATCTTCAGCAAACCAGCTATTAAATAAACTTTTTTGACGAGTCTAAGCCCTGTTTCTTCTGTCTCTATAGCTTTATTATAAAGTTAATGTTAGTGTTTAAAGCAAATATTTGGGCATATCTTACCAAAATTCATTTTGGAGTTGGAACTTGGAAACTTTTTTAGTTTGTCTTTGTTTTCTATTTTTCCATAAATAATTAAATAAGCTACTATTTATGTTATGTAAATTCTTCATGGTAGAAGTATCCAGATCTTTGAAGATATTTGGAAAACAGTTATAAGACAGACAAAATACGAGGCCATATGAGAGCATTGAATTTTTAGCATTCTTAGGGTGATTTTGTTTGTTTAAAATTATCTTTAAGTCATTTAGAATTTTTTTTTTTTAATAAAGAACGTGTTAACTCCTTTTCCTTATGTAGTTTTCTTTAAAAATATTTCTATTTGAAATATGAATATTCTACATATATATTCTATTATATATAATTTTCTAGTATTAGCTCTCAACTTCTTGAGATAAGTAGGTAGTAGTGTTTTTTGAACTTCTTGAGATAAATATCCTAGTGTATTATTTCATTTCTTCAGTTATCTTGCGAGCAGCAAATTAAATTGCTTTCGTCTCCTGAAAGATCACTAAATTGCATTGAGTGCTATACATGCCTACCTTACAGTGCTCATTACAATATTAAAACACAATTCTATAAAATGATGACTGAACATTATCATTTCATAGGTAACACTTTGAAGGAAATGATGTCTTATTGATTTGGGATTTTCAATCTAATATTCGGTTTCATTGTGAGAAAGAATTGGTAACACGGGTTTTTTTTTTAAGGTGTAGCATACCATAGAACATCCTTGTGAATGAAGGAAATCATCTTATCTTTATTTCTGTCTTTTGCACATCATTCTGCATTAAATCATAACATTGTGATCCCAGATGTTTTTCATATGCATAAGCTTTACAGATTAGTAATCTATTTTCATGCTATTTCTTACATAAAACATTTCTTGTTCTTTGTTTTTGCTTTACATGGAATGCATGGGCTTTAAGACCATAATTTCTTTGGTAAGGTTTCATCTGCTTTGGGGTTCTGGCTTTCTTTGCTCTTGTTTCTGCCTGTTTTCTATTAATAGGACCTAACTTTTAGGGAAGAGCCTATGATACCAGCTGTGATTTGAAAACAACGCTCACATTAATGCTATTTTTTTCCCTAAATAATACTATTTTTTAGAATATTTGGCAGAAAAGTCTTGATTCTTTTGAAATATTACCTATGAAAAACAAAGTATAGACTAACAATTAGAAAGAATTAGCCAGCAAAGTAATTAGCTTTGTTTTGTAATTGATGATATTTATAATTTTATAATCCACATAAGTAGATATGTCAAGTAAAATTATAGACAAAATAAGATTACTATAGGACAAGTAAAACTTGTAAAATAAATTTGTAAGTATAGCTTGTTATATCATAAACATGATTTTTTTATGAATTCATTTTCAAAATATCCATTTTCTTTTGACAGGAATGGGTCGTGAAGTTGAGAATCTTATATTAGAAAATACACAGTTGTTGGAAACCAAGTAAGTATATACAGAATTATAACATGGAGCAAAAGACACCAAAACACACTCACACACGAATAAGTAAATAAGTAATCGGACCTACATTTACTGTAGTCTTTGACTGTCTTTAGCACAAACATAGATTTGCATCTCCTTTCCACTCTACAAATATTCATGCCTTTCTCAATGTTCTGGATATGTCCTACATTTTCTTTCTACTTCGTCTAGGATTTTTCTGTTTTCTTATCTCCTCTCCTGGGGTGGTTTTATTTCAGCACCAATGTTTTGATATATACCCAGCCTACTTCTTCAGAACTTTCGCCCCTAGTTGCAGGTTCTCTGGCACAATTTGTGGGATCTTAAGCTGTCAAGTACATAGACAGTCTATGGTATATCATTTAGTGGGACAGGTCCCAAGTCATATTGACCAAGGCTGGGTCCCTTTGTCAGTTTACTGTGTCAAAGCAACTTTGGAACATCTGTGTATATCCAAGACAGAATGCAGCTATAATGAGGTCCTAAGCAGACTATGGAAACCCTGGTGGCGTAGTGATTAAGAGCTACAGCTGCTAACCAAAAGGTTGGCAGTTGGAATCCACCAGGTGCTCCTTGGAAACCCTATAGGGCTGTTGTACCCTGTCCTTTAGGGTCTTATAAGTTGGAATCGACTTGACTAGCAGTGGGTTTGGTTTTTTGGTTGGTATGCAGACTGTACCCAAAAGGAACTAGATATTAGTTTTTGTTTTTTTTTTTAAGTTTATTTCCAGTTTATTTACTTTTTTCTCCTTAATTATTAGAGGTAACTTCGAGGAGTAATTTTACTTTAATGGTTAATGGTTGTACAATATCCTTTCAAAATTTATTAACAGTACTCTCATGAATGCTATTTTTAAAAATGTTTATCTTGTAGTCTTACTTAATTCTGACCTTTTTATTAGTTGGTGGCTGGCCTTGCTTTATCCATTCTTTCTTTTTTTTAATCTGTTTATTCTTGGTTTGATAAGTGGGAAGAGTAAAAAAAATTAGACCATTGCTTGGTGTTCTTTTCATTTTTGTCTAGCAAGCAACATCAGATAAAATACCTACAAGTATTCAGTTGTTCAAATCTATGATTATGTAGGTACTTTAGCCTACAAAAGACTAAGCTGAAAAATGGAAAGAATATTTATTTGTAATGATGCACTTCTGAAATATGTGTTTCCTAGAAATGCTTTGAATGTGGTGAAGAATGATTTGATAGCAAAAGTAGACGAACTGACCTGCGAGAAAGATGTGCTGCAAGGGGAATTGGAGGCTGTGAAACAAGCCAAACTGAAGCTAGAGGAAAAGAACAAAGAATTGGAGGAAGAGCTTAGGAAGTGAGTTTTGACTATGTTGTTCTAAACGAAACCATCTTTGCCAGTGTGCCACACAAGGGTTACAGGTATAACCCTGAGATTGACGTCTTCTGCCTTCTCAAGCCAGGAAGGGCCAAGAGTGTCCTGGAACAGGGTGAAGTACCTCCGCCAATTGCCTCTGCTGTGAGCAAGCTCCTCCATTATCAGTGTGTCATCCAAATATTATCATTTTTTGTGTCTGCCATGATGTAAAGAACGTGAGAACTATTCAAACATCTTCATTTTGATAATAAGGAAATGAGAAACACTGATTATTGTTCTTCACCCAGCTTTCTTTAATACCTGGCTTTTTCTGAGAATAGTGCTATGACAATAGTCCCCTAAATCAGGCAGCTAAATGCTCTGTTTCAGAAAAGAAAAGAAGTAACGCTTCAGTGGTCATTAAAATTGTTGAACTGCTCTTTCATTCTTTGAAAAGATGAAACCAATTCAAATAATATGTTTCGTTTCCTCCCGCTAGAGCTCGTGCAGAAGCTGAAGATGCAAGGCAAAAAGCAAAAGATGATGATGATGTAAGTTTATAGTTTTGTACTGTTTTTCTTTCCTTGCTTGGGAAAATCTTGCTAATTAAGCATTGGATACAGCATTATAAGGATAAAAAAGTCAGGAGATGTTTTTATGGTCATGAGCAGGATAGCTTTTTAGCTACATGCAGTGTCTTGGTCATCTAGTGCTGCTATAACAGAAATACCATAAATAGATGGCTTTAACAAAGAGAAGTTTATTTCCTCACAGTAAAGTGGGCTAAAAGTCCAAATTCAGGGCATCAGCTCCAGGGTAACCGGCTTTCTCTCTCTGTCAGCCTTCTCATCAATCTTCCCCCGGACTAGGAGTTTCTCGGCGCGGGGACCTCGGGTCCAAAGGACACATTGCTTTCTTGGTGGTATGAGGTCCCCAACTGTACTTGCTTCCCTTTCCTTTTATCTCTTGAGATAAAAGGTGGTGTAGGCCACACCCAGGGAAATTCCCATTACATAGGATCAGGGATATGGCCTGGGTAAGGGTGTTACAATCCCACCATAATCCTCTTTAACATAAAATTACAATCACAGAATGGAGGACAGCCACACATACTGGGAATTATGGCCCAGCCAAATTGATACACACATTTTTAGGGGGACATAATTCAATCCATGACATTTGGTGTGTTCTTTTTTCATCCATGGCCCCTGTGCTCTGACCTTTTGAAGCCGAAGGACTAAACTGGGGCGTTTTATTGTTGTTGCTGTTTGTTTTGTTTCAAGTTTTGATTAAGAAATATGAAAACTTAATAAGAATATTTAATAGTATTGAACATAAAAGTATGAACTCTAGAACTTTAGTAACTAGCCAGTTAGCTTATTTTGTTGTCAACATACATAAATACAAAAGAATAGGTAAGACCTTCATGCCTATATTATTAGCCTACTAGTAATTCTGTTGGTAGCTAGATCATCATTCCACAACAGGAGTTGCAGGTCAAGGGCTAGACCTGAGATACATGGGTGTCCTGGACAGAATAATCATTTGGTGTCCCTTTAATCCCTTATATATGTTTTTTATCTAGTATTTGGTACATACTAAAATATGTGACATATGTAACTTTTGAAACATAATAAATGAACATTCATGAATCTACTACTCAGCCTGAGCTCTAGAACATTACCAAACATTGAGGCTACCCTCTGCTCCTCTCCTCCAGAGGAAACCACTATCCTATTTTATCATTTTCTTACCTTTAAAAAAAACAGTAATTTTATCACACCATGTATATATCCCTACGAAGTAGGGTTTAGTTTTCCTTGTTTTTGAGTGAGCAAGCTGTATTTAGCCTTGGAGATTTGCTTCTTCCACTCAATATTATGTTTTTGAGATTCACTTGTGTTAAACTTCTATAGTTAATTTTCACTGCCTTATAATACCTCATTATATTAATATACTACATTTTATGTATTTGTTTTTCTGTTAATGAATGAATGTTCAGATTATTTTCAGGTTTTTGCTACCACAAACAATGCTATATAAGTTTCCTGGTGCATAGGAGCAGGAGTTTCTTCTAGGATATATACCTAGTGATGGGATTGCTGTGTTGCAAACCCAGATCCTTTAATCATTTGTTTGACATTTATTTAAAGGAGAGGCCAAGTTCTATGGCAGGAATGCAGAGGAGGAGGGCTACTGAGGCTAAGCTCAACCACTTTCTTACTGTCCCAAGCCTTTCAGCTTTGGCCCAAAATGTGCATACTCAACACTACAACAGCCTTGCAGTTAAACCACCTTTCCTTTCCAGAAGAGAGTTTAAAATCAGCAGGGGAAGGAAGTTGTCTTGAGCATGCCCCTTTGGGATCTTACCCCCCTCCTTATTCTATACTCAGATCCCTTATTCTCCCTTAAAAGATTATGGTTAATACAGTTGTCTCCATCTTCTATTTCTGTTGGTGTTTTAGTGACTATTATCATTGGGTACTTTGGTAACTAGCCAATGAGTTTAACTCTTTACGCTTGCTTTTGCTGTGTATTTGGATTGGTAGTTTGAGAAAAGTGAACCTCTTTAGGAATGTAACTGATTCCTGAATGACTCAAAATTGTTTATGTAATGAATTTAAAATAATGGTGTTAGAGCAACATTTACAAGTGAAGCTTGTAAGAGCACATTAAATCTATATAGAACAGTTAACTTTTTGATTTTTGTTCAGAATCTACAGTATTCTTTAAAATTCCTCTGAAATGTGTTAAAATGTCTGTATTTATCTTTAGAAATTAAATTGTCCACCTCTTATCCTTTCAGTCATTAGTAATTTTTTAAATCTCTATTGATTTTGAAAACCTTTGTGGCATTGTGGTTAAGAGTTTGGCTGCCAACCAAGAGGTCAGCAGTTGGAATCCACCAGGCACTCCTTGGAGTGGCAGTTCTACTCTGTCCTTTAGGGTTGCTATGAGTCAGAATCAACTCGATGGCAGCGAGTTTTTTGGATTTGGGTTCTATTGATTTTATTTTCATAAAGGCCGTTTTTCTTTAAGCAATCCATTAGATTGTAAGTTAAGGAATGCTTAAATACTTAAAGATTCTGCTTACATCTGAGATTAACACAAGCCAAAACAGATGTAGGCTCCCAGGATAATCTGTAATCTTCTTTTCGTTATAGAGTGATATTCCCACAGCACAGAGGAAGCGGTTTACTAGAGTAGAAATGGCCCGCGTTCTAATGGAGAGAAACCAGTATAAAGAGAGACTGATGGAGCTTCAGGAAGCTGTTCGATGGACAGAGATGATTCGGTTTGTATGAGAAGTGCTCTGGTGTTTTTCTGTTGTATCCTAGGTTTGGATGTTCCTTCACTGAGAACTAGAGTCCTGCCTTAAGGGTCCACTCCCCTTGCTCTGTTTACTAGAAACTTCTTAAAGTAGCACTGCGAATTAGTGACAGAATGTGATCAGTGTGAGTGCTTTGGGGGCCAGTAAGGGCTCTTGGAGAAGAATGTTTCCATGACCTCTAAAAGGCAATTTTTATTACTTAGGAATGGCGGCCATTTATCAGGAGAATGTAGAGCTTGGCACTACATTAGCAATAAAGTCAGGAAAACAAGAAAATTTCATAAGCTACATAGGAAAATAATTTTTACTTACTGTCTTCCTATGAAATTCATAGCTCTTGCTTGATTTTTCCCCATTCTAATTATTCATGCAAAATGCACCTCCCATTGATGTCTTTCAGTCAGTTGAAACTAAGTCTCACCTGATACTGCCATCTAATGGTCACTGTTCTCAGTCACAGTATCCCTTACTTTCATTTAGGAAGCGTTCACAAAAAGTGTGTAAATTAGTTTCCCCCCAATTTTCTCATATCTTCAAGTTTGGATTGTCATATCAGATTTACCAGTAACAGGACACAGTGGCACATTGTTTTTAAGTTTATGCACATATTTTCTAACCTCCAACTTTTACTTCCATATGATCATATCATCTGTTTATATATCCTTTATCAATGCCATACTAGAATGAAGTATTTTTGTATAGGACATTTTACAGTTTGCTAAAATTATAATTGCCTGTAGCTGCTAAGAAGGAAGAAGATCAGTAACCAATTTATTGAACAAGGAAACAAATACTAAGAGGTGTATTCTTAACTCTAGCATATTTAATGGGTTAAATAAATTCATTAAATAAATATTGTAAAAAAAAATTGAGGGCATATAGGCAGGATCCACTTTTCATTGCTATTTTTAATTCTAGCAGCCAGCTGGTAATCAACATGTGAAAGGAAATGTTAGCTTAACTTTTGCAATGAATTAAAAGATGTTTTTAAAAAAATGTCTTTAAAAAAATTAAGAAAATAAGTGAAAAGGAGGCTCTGATAGTGATGACAAATCTTTACCACCTTACTAATCAAGTTGGAATGCCTTATTTTCTGGAATTTTTGTTGAATTATCTGTCAATCCAGCTTAGCCCCTTCCCTTCCATGGTCATCTTTTCAGTGATGGAAAAGTTTTAGTCCTGTGAAAAATGACCCATCAGAACAGTAAAGTGACAAGCAGAGAGTACAAGAAAATAGAGACCTTTATGTAATGACAGGATTTACAAAGCAATATTTTGTAAGTGAGAGGCTCTCTTCTCAATAAAAATGTTTAAATATTAATATTCAGGCATGTTGGCTGTCTGCCCAGCACAGATAACAGTCTTCTCTCTCTCAGTAGACTATGAGCTCTTTGAGGGTGGGGATATTTTATTTGTCTTAGTAGTATTAGCCTCCAAAGTAACTATTTACTGAATTTAATTGTTGACTCTCCCCTGTGTGTTCCTATGAACTTCTTGTTCTTTAAATAGAAAACTAGATCACCTCATAGATAATGTGTTTTTTTTTCTCTCTCTCTTCGTTTTAATGTAGGGCATCAAGAGAAAATCCAGCTATGCAGGAAAAAAAAAGGTCAAGCATTTGGCAGTTGTAAGTATCTAAAAACAAATAAGGACATGTGGAAACTTGAATTGGTGTATGTTTTTGCTGTGTATATTCTCAATAACAACAACAAATAAATTATTTTAAAAAAGAAAGACAGTAGACAACATTTTCAGACAAGAAGATTACAGTCAATTTATTTTCAAGAATAATAGTCCATTTTTTAAAAAAATTTGAGGTAAATAGCTAAACTAAACTTTTCTTTCTTGATATGTAGTGTGCCAACTCGGTAAGGCTGCTCTTGAGGACAGGAAATATGCTATTGTAAGCTGCATCATGTTGGTTATGCATTTGATTGAATCCTCTGCTTAATTAAATAAAAGGGGCATCATTTATAAAGTTGATAATTATCTGGATCTCCATTAAATTTGTTACTGATTTATTGGTTTTGTGATTGTAAGGAAAGTTACAAAATGATGAGATGCTTAGTGTTTGTTGGGTTTGAGGTGTGTGTGTGTTGAATTTGCATTATGTTCATGCCAGAAGTTCTGTGTGTTTACTGTGCTTAAAACTTACCCCTTTTTTAGCAAATCTGCTATTTAATAAAATTAATTTTTTTAAGTGGGTGTGAAAATAGCTTATTTAAATTGTGCTTTATCAGAAAATATATAAATGTGTGTTAAAATGGTAGTATGTGTTCTAGTATTTTATTATAAGACTATTTTTAGAACTGGGGTACTGCGCTTCTGTTCAAATCATGCAGCCGTAACTTTGCTCTTTAACAACCACTCTTACATTGCATCAAGTAGGAGCTAGCTAAAGGAACTGTCTTATTTCCTCAGTGGAGGAAATTCCCTGTACTCAGAAGCTTCTTCCTTTCATTATGCAAATTGCTAACTGAAGAAGAGAGATCAGCTTTTCTAAGCAATAATTTCTCTTCCCTGAAAGTCTGAGTTTGGCTGTGAGTTATTGCTAAGGCTGCAGTGTGCAACTACAAAAAAATAGTTTTTGCCAGTTTCTAACTCATTGCTTTGTAAAAGCACTGTGGATTTTTCTTGAGCATTAAAAAGTTTGTAGAAAATCATGGATTGTTCTTCACAGTGCATGTGGTGTATGTGTACATATATGCACTTACATTTTTTTTTCTTAAATATTAGTTTCAGCAGACTTTTCAGCTCCTCAAGTAACACTACTAAGAAGCCTGAACCGCCTGTTAATCTGAAGTACAATGCACCAACCTCTCATGTTACTCCTTCTGTCAAGAAAAGAAGCAGCACCTTATCTCAGCTCCCAGGGGATAAGTCCAAAGCCTTTGATTTCCTTAGTGAAGAGTAAGTATTTGCCAGACGAGAGGTTGTGCCGTAAATAAGTCAACAGTTTACAGTGCTCTTGCCTCAGATCAGCTATGATGAGGGTTCAAATAAATCTATAACAAAACTATTTCTATAACTTGGCTACCTTTAAGTAAATTACTTGTACTCAGTGCCTTTTGTGAAAATTGCATTTCACAATTTTCATAAGGAGGGGAGTTTTTTTAAATGTCTAAATTCTGCTGCTATGACGTTAATAAGTATTAACAGAGATGTAGAAGGCCTAGATAAGCCTGTGTCTTAAATGTTTGAACATTTCCTTTGGTGTCAGAAAGACTTGGTTTTCCATCCTGACCCTGCTATTCATTAGGTGCATAAACTTGAGCAAATTAACCTCTCAGAGCCCCAGTTTCTCTGCCTGTAAAATGGGTACAATAACCTATCTCAAAAATTATTCAGTATCTATAAAGTACCTGGCACACAGGTAGATTTGTGAACTATTGTATAAGTAGCAAGTCACTTCACAAAATTTAAATGACCAAAAGAAATACAGATTATTTCAGAATCATTTTCATAATGTTTTACTCCATAGCTAGCTCTAAAGCTTACCAAATCAATTTGCATTTTTGTCTTCTGAAATAAGTTAATAGAATCTAGAATTTAACTTTTATTATCTTTCCAAGAACGTCCTACCTTTTCACTGATCTTTACTCACTTCTAATACATTCCCTGGCATTAGAAAATTCTCAGTAAATATTTATTGAATGAACAAAAAAGGAGCCAAAAAATATTTAAGAATCATTCTCTTTCTTATGGCCAAACCTGAAACTTGATAGAAATTTGATGGCTGATGATTCAGCTTAATTTAAGGGGCTGCTTGCTAGCCTGTTAAAGCTTGGGCACTGTATTCACTATGCACAAACTTAGAAAGACCAGCTTTATTTAGTATACCACTTTTAAAAGAGCAGCTGTAGAATGAAATGAACTAATTTAAAATCATGTAATTTTTTTGTGGTTCATTTTGCTATTCTAGGGAGAGAAGAGAGATAAAGCTGTTGTTACATTCACTGAATTAAAAAAGAAAATCTCTTTTCTTTTAGAACTGAAGCTAGTTTAGCCTCGCGCAGAGAACAAAAGCGAGAACAGTACCGTCAGGTAAAGGCACATGTTCAGAAGGAAGATGGTAGAGTGCAGGCTTTTGGCTGGAGTCTGCCTCAGAAGTACAAACAGGTAATATGTGAACATGGTAAGAGTATCTTGTAGGAAATGAGGTAGAGAGGCTTGGGTGTGGGGGGATCTAAATGCACATCCCAAAACCGCTCATCTCATGGACTTGACGCAAGTTGAGGGTAGTGATTTTCAGACTGTTTTCTAGATCGCTAGAGCTCAAATGAGATGCCTCTGAGCCAAAGGGTGGGGAGGGTAATGAGAGGTGGCTAACTACATGAAACTTGGGGTACCCTGTTCTGCTTTAACCAAAACATTTTTTTTTTTATTATTTGAAGGTTTTGTGTTTTTAAAAATAGTTATCTGCTGTTTTAAAATTTTCTTAAAAATATTGGTATGGAGCCTTTCAAACTGCTGACTTAAGGCATTCAGGAACTTTACCTGTCTGCTCTGTATTCCCTGCCCCCAAAAGACTCAGCACACACACGTGCATGCACACACACACCCAAACACACGTGCACACATGCACATTAGTGCCTCTCTTCTGAGTGCTGATAGAATCTTGTTTATTCCTAATTGCCACTTGATTTTTCTGCTTATTTTTCAAATAAGAATGACAAAACCAACTTGAATTTGATTTCAAGCAGTAAATACCTAGTAGTAGTTCTTACCCGTGTTTTAATGGTTCTGTAAGAAGTTCGCTTTTGATGAGGCTTGCCAATATATTTTTCTCTCTTTCGCTCCTTGGCCCTGCTTAATAGGTAACCAATGGTCAAGGGGAAAATAAGATGAAAAATTTACCTGTGCCTGTCTATCTTAGACCCCTGGATGAAAAAGATGCATCAATGAAGGTAAGTTAATTTTGAAGTTAAAGGAGGTATTTCCTAAACTCTGGGTAGATTTTTTTTCTAAAACCAAAGAAATACTCCTTCTATGGGTAAGGTTATTGTTCATTTTGTAGTTTTAGAAGTGAGATACTTTGGATATTAAAGACCTATATTTACAGCCACAAGGAGCCAGGAGCCCTCATAGCCCAGTAGTTAAGTGCTTGGCTGCTAACCTATAGGTTGATGGTTCAAACCTACCAGCTACTCCCTTGGAGAAAGACGTGGCGATCTGTTTCTGTCAAGATTTATAGCCTTAGAAACTCTGTGGGACAGTTCTACTCTGTCACATAGAGTCATAATGAGTTGGAATTGACTTGATGGCAGCGGGTTTGGTTTCTATTTATAGCCATTAGTTATAGTGAGAAAATATGAAAAGTTCTGAGCATTTCTAGTGTGAAAGTGACTTGCTACTTTGTTTTTGTCCCAAAAGCTGTGGTGTGCTGTTGGCGTCAATTTATCTGGTGGGAAGACCAGAGATGGTGGTTCTGTTGTTGGAGCAAGTGTGTTTTACAAGGATGTTACTGCTTTGGATACAGAAGGTGGAAAACAGCGAAGTGCATCTCAGAGTAGTTTGGATAAGTTAGATCAGGAACTTAAGGTGAGTGCAAGCACTGACATTTTACCTTCTCATTTCTTTGGTCCAAAACTTTACTACTGGGTCCAGTTTCTTATTGGGATTACTGTGCCTTTGCTGATCACCCCCTACCTTTAATCGATTTTATTGAGGTGTAGTTTATATTCAATAAAGTGTACACTTAAAATGGGTACAGCTCAAAGAGTTTTGAAATGTATGCACCTATGAACTACCACCACAATCAAATTACAGAACATTTCCATCACTGATCTGCTTTAACTGCCAATTTTTAGTCTACTAATTATTGAAAGGGGGTTGTATTGTTACCCTCCCAAATAATCTGAAAATAAATTTGAAATCGTATATTCTTTTTACTGTAATGGCACAACCTTATGAATATTTGTACATACATATATTCTTAAACATTTCATTTTCCTTACTTTGCCTGCACAGGAACAGCAGAAGGAGTTAAAAAATCAAGAAGAATTATCCAGTCTAGTCTGGATCTGTACCAGCACTCATTCAGCTACAAAAGTTATCATTATTGATGCTGTTCAACCAGGCAACATTCTCGACAGTTTCACTGTTTGCAACTCACATGTTCTGTGTATTGCCAGTGTACCAGGTAAGAGTGAGCCATGCCCCTCTTCCACACTCCTTCCTAGCAGGAAACGGCTTGGTTGCTGGAGATACAGTTATGCACCTTGCTTTCATGGAGTTTATGTTCTAGCTGGAGAAGACCAAAAATAAACTAGAAACAAATGACTAAAGAAGATATTTTCAGAGAGTGAAAAATAGTGTAAAGAAAATAAAATATATGATAAGATGACTGAGAGGCAGAGGGCAAGGGGCTATGTAGATTGGTTAGTAATGGAAGACCTCTCATAGGCCTTCTAAAATTCTGGATTAAATATTGTATGATGTAAAAATTAAAGAGGTTTATCTTCACATTGTAAGTGCTTCATTTTAAAATGTCTTATTAATGTCTTAAGGCACTGTGTATACCTATGGTGATTCATTTTTAACTCTAGTGAATAAAACTATATTACATGTTTCGAACAGTAATCTTCAATAATTTTTAAATTTTTTTTATGACTTCTTGTCAAATATAATTAAATTTCATTGTTTTTAACCTCATTATATGGCTACTAAGGAGCTCATACTAAAAGCAGAAGTGCCATTTCTGACATTGCCATGTTGTTTACTTGCATTTGCATTAATAGTAGTATTATCTTAATTTTTAAAGCCACTTTCCCATTCTCTGAGGATTAGTGTAAATAAAACTTAATACTACCACCTTGGCAGTCTGTTCAGTAGCTGTTTGTCTCACGTGCACACTCATTTCAAACTCAAATAGTTGCTTTTATGAAGAAATGCTGTTTATAGGAGTTTATTTGTAGATTAGAAGGCGGCTTTTTGTCTTTTCAGGAGCAAGAGAAACAGACTATCCTGCAGGTGAAGAAATTTCAGAGTCTAGTCAGGTAGACAAAGCATCTTTATGTGGAAGCGTGACAAGCAATAGCTCAGCAGAAACAGACAGCCTATTGGGAGGGATCACAGTGGTTGGTTGTACCACAGAAGGTGTGACAGGAGCTGCCACTTCACCTAGTACCAACGGTGCTTCTCCAGTGACAGAAAAACCACCAGGTATATCTGTTATTCTTCCATGCCTTCTGTATAGAGTCTGAGGCTTCCCCAGATGCCTCATTATTGGCTTATTTTAGATCTTAAGTTAATAAGGATGAAAGAATTTGAAAGAAGATGCTGTAATGACTGTTAAATAAAATCAAGAATTCTCAATTTCATGATACAGTGTGGAGGGAGAGGGTAGATGGAGAGAGAGGGTAGTTGGAGTGGAATTCTATAGCAGGGGTTTATGTGGGGCAACTATTGGAGGGGAAAAGCTGAAGCTTAGAATAGTTAGCATGTTTTATTTGTTTTGTAGAAACGGAAGCAGAAAATAGCGAGGTTGATGAAAATGTTCCAACAGCAGAAGAAGCAACTGAAGCCACAGAGGGCAATGCAGGGTCAGCTGAAGACACAGTGGACATCTCCCAAACTGGAGTATACACAGAGCATGTCTTTACAGATCCTTTGGGAGTTCAAATCCCAGAAGACCTCTCCCCAGTGTATCAGTTAAGGTATACAAATGGGTCAATTTAGGAAACCAGATAGTGCACACATAAAAGGAACCAAAATAATCCCAAGCAGTGAAAAAAATCTCCACTAATTGACTTTGTTATGGAAGACTTGATGTTATTGCCTCTTCCCACTATGTCTTTATTTCCTCCCCTTCATTCTCTCCTGACCTTTTTTTTCCTATTTCTTCTTTATCCCTTCCAACTTAAAAAGTGCATTAATCAAAATCTTCCTGGTCATTTTATCCTCTGGTAAAATTTTTTTGGAATTATTGTACTTGTCATCTTCTATTCTATGAATAACTCTTAGGCATTTTAATCCCCACCTCTACTCTCATTCCCACACTAGTTAACAATAAAATTGGCCATCATTTAAGTTCCCCATATGGGCTTGACTGACCTTTTATATTTTGTTTTCGTGCAAACATTTTATTTGAAAATAGTTTATTTTAGCTCTTTCTTTAATGGCTAGGTTAATCGAGGCCCATTTAGGGAATTATTTTCTTTCCTGCCTTCTGTAAGCCTTATAGAAAGCTGATGAGGCCTCACTAAACTAGGTCCTTTTTCCAGTTTAATCTTCTTCCTCTTAGTTTATACATCAGTCAAAAGTTTAACATTTAATTGGTAATTTAAGAATAAAGCAGTCTTCCTAGAGTTAATAAGTTGGTTTGTCTGTTTTGAATTTAGATCCCAGTTATATCTTTTCATCAAATATGTCCTGATAATCCTAAAGAATGAAGGTTTTGGGGTAAAACATAAGCAAGTTTCAATTTATTAATAAACTTATTTTACAATATTCTTTATATATCACCCTCCTTTATGTTTGTCATTTTAAGGTAAACCATTCCTCCCTCCTCTTGCTTCTCCCAAAAAAACTATAGTAAAATTCAAACAGCTCTTAGGGAGAGCCATAATTGAGTTTGGGTATTAACTCCTGTATTTCAGTACTATGTCTTACTCCCTTAACCGTACCTTGGGCCTCCTGGTATGTTAATACAGTAAAACCTGTGAGAGCCGGAACTCTACGGGACTGCCTTGTCTTCCACCTTTGACGGTGCAGTCTTACCACTTTTCTGGTGCTTGTTTTAGTGGAAAATATTTTAGTTTTCCTTCTCTGATAGGTTTCCACCTTACACAGGTTCTGGCTTTTGCAGGTTTTGCTGTATTGTTTCTGGTAGAATTTAAGGTGAGCATTTAACTTTGGCTTTTCTGGAATTAATTTTAGCATTTGATTATTTTTTAACTCTACTAAAGTGTAGAAATGTTTACTCCCTAAAAACTGTGGCTGAGCATGCTCATATTTTTCCTTTTGCCTCACTTTTCCTAGTAGTGACTCAGATGCATATAAAGATCAAATATCAGTATTGCCAAATGAACAAGACCTGGTGAGAGAAGAAGCCCAGAAAATGAGCAGCCTTTTACCAACCATGTGGCTTGGGGCTCAGAATGGCTGGTAAGTGCCAACAGTTTTATTATTAGAGTATCTTCAGAATTTCACATTTGCTTTTGAAATCAGAAGATAAGTAAAATGTGGTACATACAAATACAAACAAAAAATACATATTAGTGCAAAGAAATTTTATATACACACAAATTTTGAGATTATGTACAACTGCCTCATAAATTGGACTTGCATTTCTTTTGAATGGTAAAGCATATGTTTCTTTGTCACAGAATGTTCCCTTTATATAATATTCTTGTAAGAGGAGGTAAATAAAACTTTAAAATCTGGATGATCCAAAGATAGAAGATCCTGAATAGCACAGAGAAATAGAATTGTTGATGCAAAGATTTATATAGGCTAGAGTATGGGCAGGAAATACCAGGAGTTAAACTAATGTATTTGGCTGCAAGAAGGCCCAATCCCAGACGTAACTTTTGATAGCGTTGTTAGGAAAGCCAAAACAAAATCAAAAACCAAACCTGTTGCCATTGAGTTGATTCTGACTTATACTGACGCTGTAGGACTGAGTAGAACTGCCCCCTAGGGTTTCCAAGGCTATAATCTTCATGGAAGCCGACTGCCACATCTTTCTCCTGTGGAGTGGCTGGTGGGTTTGAACTTGCCAACCTTTCAGTTAGCTGCAGAACAGTGTAACAACTGTGCCACCAGGGCTTCTCTAAAGTTCAGGAGACGATAACTAACATTACATAGTCTGTTCACTTTCGAGTACTGTTGGGAGTCCTACAAAACTGTGCCTTCCCAAGTTAAGCAAGATCGCTAATACATCTTTTCCATAGGGTCTATAAAATGAGGGGTTGGCAACCTTCTTCTGTGAAGGGCCAGACAATAAACATGTTAGGCTTTGCCAGCCATACAATTCCATCACAACTACTCAAGTCTGTCACTGTTGTGCAAGAGCAGCCATTGACAATGAGTTAACATGGCTATGTTCCAGTAACGCTTTATGGACAGTGAAATTTGAATTTCATATAAATTTTACATGCCACGAAGTACTCTTCTTTTGATTTCTACGCTCAGCCATTTAAAAATGTAAAACATTATCCTTAGCTTGAAGGCTATACAAAAGCAGGCAGTGGGCTAGATTTGGCCTGCAGGCTATAGTTTGCCACTCCCCAATCTAAACCATCCTGTCGTCAAAAAGTTAGACTTCAGCATAGTAGAGAATTAAGGTAATTCCAAAAGGGGGTCTCAGCCAAAGGCTCTGGAATGTGGGGTAACTGAAACTGACTGGCCATTCATTACACTAGTTCTGGCTTTTCATCTACACGTGTTTTGGTTTGCTTAAGCAGCTTGTTTCTGTGCCTCAGGCCTACCCTTACTTCATTTTTGTTTTCTGACCATTGTACAAAAGCAGCAGCACCTTTTCCTAAAGTTTGTATATTAGTCTTCTTTCCTCCTGAGTGAACTCTGTGATCATTATTAAATATAGGCAACAACTTGGATGTTCTCTATGCCTTACCAATCCTGACTTATTTCTTGCAGTTTGTATGTCCATTCATCTTTAGCCCAGTGGAGGAAATGTCTGCATTCCATTAAACTTAAAGATTCGATTCTCAGTATTGTGTAAGTTTTATTTTAGAAATTATTCTTTTTAAGAATATGTGTTTGGTGTAAACTAGTTTTTAAGACTATTGAAACTAATATGTACTTCATAACTAAATCACTATCAAGGTGTTTTTAAGCCTTTTTATGGAACTAGAGAACATTGAATGAGAATGAAACTCTATAAATAGAAAGTAAAATAGAAAACTTTAAGTAGGAGAGAAAATTGCCAGATTAATTCCTCATCATACTATGAGTTCTTTAGTTTTCAGGGAGAGAACAAATATCTGTTAATGTATAATTTGTTTTAGGATATTCTTTATATTTTATGAACATGCTTTGTGAACTTGGAGCATTGATTTACTAATCCTATTCTATTTGTTGACTGTCAAAAGTCAGCTTGTCTCTAACTCCACAAAGTTGACTATATAGTTCCACTCAAGATATGTGTCTCTGGTCTGTGGACTTTATGTCAGTAGTCTGCGATGAAAGGAAGAGCTTGGGCCAGAAAGTAAAACCACTGAGTCATCACGCATACTGTCTATTTAGTTTAGCTGACATTTTTTTCATAGTATGACTTTCTTGATGAAGGAGGCAGTGTGTTTTTTTATGTTCTGCCTTAAGTTCCTCAACTCATCATGGACTGGCACTTTTGAGAGGCTTTGGATTAGTTCAGTAGCATATGATTCTTTCTGTATTCCTGAATTGAGAGTTTTGAAATCCCTTTTCCCTGTTTGCAGACATGTGAAAGGAATTGTGTTAGTGGCACTAGCTGATGGTACCCTTGCGATTTTTCACAGAGGAGTTGGTGAGTGGTCATGAATATATAAAGTGCACTAATTTGTTGCTTTAAAAAAACATTTTTAAGCAGATTGATTTCTTACGTTTTAAAGAAATAATACTTATTAGGAGAAAGAATAAAGTTTAAACGAATATTCACAATGTATGACATTAATAAATACATGAATGTCTACCTGGAGGTATGTCTAGCTCAGTGGAAATATATTTACCATAATAAGTAAGGAGCTTTGCACTTCATGGTATTCTTACATAATGTGATGTGAAGGCCTTTCTTTTTCATTCATATACTTAATCAGGAGAAATTTGGTGAGAATTTTTTTCTCTTATGTTTTAAAAATAATCTGTGAATCGACTTCCATTTGGAAAAAAATTTTAAAGAATTTTTAATTGGGTAAGGTTTAATCATTTGCATGTCACCTTATTCATGGTCTTCCCCTTTAAAACCACTGTTACCACCATCTACAGATGAAGGGGTGCTTGTGTCAGAAAACCTGCCTTGACTGAATTAAATTAAGAGAGTTTAGAATATAACTTCATAACCCTTTGGTACATGTGTCAACCAAAAACAATACTTCGTTTCTTATATACTAGAGTAGTAGATCAGGGAAATGTTTTAAAAACATGGACACACTGAGTTTGGATTTTAGCAAGGTTTTTCACAGAATCTCGTATTCTTCTGGGCTTGGAGAAAGATGGGGTAGATGATACTTTGGTGCGTTTGTAACTGATTGGTACCTAGAACTTGCTGGTTAATAGCTCCATATCGTCAAGGCGTAACAGGGCTCTGTTTTACCATGTGCACGGCCTTCACAGACTTTATCTGTGTATAATCCTCACAACAACTTATGAGGTAGATTCTGTTGTCATCCTCATTTTATAAAAGAGAAAACTTAGGCACAGAGCTTTTTAGTTACTTGTTCATGGTCACTCAGCAAGTGGAAGAGCCTAGAGAAAATGCAATTATAAATGATATTGACAGAATAAGACAAAATGCATTTAATAAGGATAAGCATTTGGGTTTAGAAGAGCAAGATGGGGAGACATGTCTAAAGAGTGAGAATTACTTAAAGATTGACTGCCATCTCAATATGAGTTAGTGAATGTCTTAAGCCTCACAGAAGTAAAGTATACAGAGAAAGCCCTACTCTGTTCTGCTAGATAGACAACATGTTAAAGGACACTGACGAAGTGGCTGAGAATAAGACATCTATACACTGTGTTATGCCCAAAACCCATGCCAAGGGTGCGTGGTTTTAAAAAGAAGATACTGGGCTGTAGCAAAGAAGTGGTATTGGATTTATTCTTTGTACAGACCGATCAGTGATTACAGACAGGGAAGCAGACTTTACCTAGGTATGGAGAATATTTTTTAGACAATTAACGGTTGTCTGAAAATGGAGCCTCTGCTTTCACTGAAATTGTTCAAGCAAAACTAACAAAGCAAAGCAAGCTTCTGATGGTTGATTTTCATTTTTCTTTCATCACTAAAAATATAGTACGCACAATTCCTAAAGTGTTAGCAATGAGTTGCCCTCGACTTCTACCCAAGAAATTACACCAGAATGCAAGTGAATGAAAGAGATATTATCCCAAAAGTAACATTAAGTCCAATCTAATTCTGAAAGTACTATTATAAACAGATAACTTATAACTGACTTATCATATCACACTGTCAAGAGAGTGTTTTAAAGGGGGGAATCTTAAGTACTAGGTGGTGGGTTGGATCAGATAACCTTTGAGGTTTGGATCAGATGAGCTATGACCTTTGCAGTTTATGGAATAAGAATGCAGTCTCTACAAATAAAAGACACACTGAATACATGGTTTTTCTGTGCTTTGACAATAAATACACTCAAATAGAATGTTTCTTGTGTCACACTTGAGTAAAAGATCGTATGTACTAATTACTAACCTATTTCTTGTTTTAAAGATGGACAGTGGGATTTGTCAAACTATCACCTGTTAGACCTTGGACGGCCTCACCATTCCATCCGCTGCATGACTGTAGTACATGACAAAGTCTGGTGTGGCTATCGGAACAAAATCTACGTGGTCCAACCGAAGGCCATGAAAATAGAGGCAAGTTAATGCATGCTTTCTGTGCTTGTTGCATTTGTATTACCTGAACACTGTAAGGCTGAAATTATTTTCAGCTTCTTTAGAAATTGTTTTCTGAATCTGTGTGTTTTAGGGCACTAAAACGATATATTTGGATCACATCTTAGCTTCTGTATTACTTCACCTCCCTTACCATTTTTGACCATGAGGGTGGGGAAATGGTTATTTTTAAAATAGGAAGGAGGGGACGCACCATGTGAATATTTAAATGTGTGTCTGTGTACATTGATGTATATGTGTGTTACTTGAATACGTGGTTCTTGATAAGTTTATATATTAATTGGTTGGGAGGAGGATTCCCAAGTCTCCCCTCACCCCATGTATATCCAGGCAAATCCATATATGTATCACAGACTGAAAATAACATTGCAGCGGGAATTTGTTGTAAAAAGAAAGACCTCTCAGCACTGCTTTCTTAAAAAAATTTTTGCCACAGTACATGAATTCATTCTAGGTGTTCTTTTAAAAACGAAACAACAGACTCATAGCATGAAATTTTAAGGTGAAAGTTTACCTTTGCCCGCTGCCGCAAATCCCATTTCTTTCCAAAGTTAACCATTTGCCCTGTATTTTTCAGGTCTTTTCTTGCTTTACATACATACATGCACAGAGAGAGAGAGAATGTGCAGTGTAGATTCTTTTTGTTTAATTAGAAATAGGATCTTGCTTCGTGTATTGCTCTGCAACCATACACAATTCTGAAATGAAACTCTAACTGTTGAATAGTGTTGCATAGTATGGGTGGGTCAGTATTGCTTTCATAAGTTGATATCCAGTATACTGCTGAAGTCCGGCAGCCTTTGGTTCTTTGTTCTTCATCTTATTTTGAATTCTAGGATGAAAGCAATTTGTGTATGTAAGAATAATCACGTTTAGTAAACAGTATTTAAGCACTTCTTTTAATATACTTCCTTTCAATGTATATTAATACATGGTGTGCTAAATTATTGTGCAAATTAGCACAGTTTTTAAACACAAGCTCTTATGTAACGAAAGTAACTTTGTGATTGAATAATCTTTCCTAGAAATCATTTGATGCACACCCCAGGAAGGAGAGCCAAGTGCGGCAGCTTGCATGGGTGGGTGATGGCGTATGGGTCTCTATTCGTTTGGATTCCACACTCCGTCTCTATCATGCACACACTTACCAGCACCTACAGGATGTGGACATTGAGCCTTATGTAAGCAAAATGTTAGGTAAGCTTCCAAAGTACTTTATCTTTGCCAGTCAAAGGGAATGTTTTATTTTTAAATGGTCTGTAAAATCTGGGTAGAACCAGTGAATGAGAGTGATCTCTTGTCACGGAGAGTGTTCAGGCAGATGCACCATCTAATCTGTGGTTCTTGACAGAAACCTGGGATCATTGTTGACCCCTCTCTTATTCCCCACATCTAATCCATCACCAGGAACTGACAAGTCTACTTCCAAAAATATCTTAAGTCAATTACTTTTTTATGTCTGCTGCTATCACCCTAGGCCAGGCCACCATCCTTTAACTCCTGGATAACCACAAGAGTCTCCTAACTGGTCTCCATGTTTCTACTCCAGTCTGTTCTCTGCATAGTAAGCCACGTGTAGATATCACCTTGACACTCTTCTGCTCTTGCCCTTAGGTGAGGCTCACGTTTTGTCACTTGACCAGAAGACTTTACATGCTATCGCCCACTGTCTCCTTGCTCACTGTCTTCTACTTATACTGACGCACAGTTCAGCAGGCTCCTTTCATCCCAGGGCCTTCACATGTGCTGTACTCTGTGTCTGGAAAGTTCTTCTTGGTCCCTTTCTAGTTAGCTTTCAGGCCCCAGCCTACATGTCACATGCAGGAGAGACCTTCCCTGATCTCCAAGTTGGAGTTGGGTCCTTGCATACTTTTTCTTTATAGACTTAACATTATTGTGATTGCATGGGTATTATGTGATTCTTATTTAATGACTCTCTGTCGCAGACCTTAAGGCCCATGAAGGGCAGGGACTATCTCTGTCTTGTTCCCTGCTGTGTCTTCATCACCTAATCCAGTACCATAGACTACTAGGAATGTCTCTTTAATGAAGAGAGATTGAACTGGGTCACTGGTTTCTAACCTTTTTAGGGTCCCTGCCCTCAGAGAACCTGATGATAGCTATGGATCCTCTCCCTAGAAGCAGGCATGTATATAACATAAACACAAACTAACTTCAGGGGCACACTGACCATAGGTAAAGATCTCTCGATTAGACTGAGTAAGTTAAGACCCCTTCTCACACTGTGATTCTGTGATCATGCCCCCAGTTCTTGTAAATAGAACTTGTAAGTGACTGATTGTGTTCATCTTAAATATATTATCTGTTTAATTATTTTGCTTCTCAAATTCCAGAAAATTAGATCAGTTGTAAAAATTCCCTTTAAAGCCAAAACTATATCCATTGTCTTAGTATCCTAAAATTTCTAAAACTGCTTTAGAACCTAAGTATATAAACAAGGAAAGAACATAGGTTTTGTTAGTAAAGATTATTTTTATCTATGCAAAGAAATGTAAGGCAAATCAGAACTCTTTCAGCTTATAAAACCAAAGGACATTTGATTTCCTAATCTAATAAACTCTTTTTTTGTGTGAGGGTTTTTTGGTTTTGTGTTTTTGTTTGATTTGGTTTGGTTTTGCAACTCCCTAATTAAATCCTGTGTCGTATTTCCTGATCAGCAGTACCATGCTCCTGATTAATATAATGTCGGCCACTTCTAGAATTGTCTTTTTCTATTAACCCTAAATTATCAGATAGGTAATAAATAATAAAACAAAATAAGAGTTTGCTTTGATGTGCACCTTCAGAAAGCAGCCAGCTAGCTCTGGTCACATTTCCTTTCTGTTGTATTAATTCAGCTACCTTGAGGGACTTGGAATCTAAAACATCATCTGCTCTGATTGCTCAATAAAATGTTCTTTCCCCCCCCGCCCCCTTCCTGTTTAGGTACTGGAAAACTGGGCTTCTCTTTTGTGAGGATCACAGCTCTTATGGTGTCTTGTAATCGTTTGTGGGTAGGGACAGGAAATGGTGTCATTATCTCCATCCCATTGACAGAAAGTAAGTATATTTTTAGATAACCATCACAGTGCAAATAGGAGAGTTGTAGGGAATAGCCATGGCCAGAATTCAGGGCGGGGGAGTTGTTTAGGTACTGGCAGATTGGCGGTAACTCAGAAACCCAAGCTGATGGCAAAGCTCTAACTATCGTTCCCTCACTCTCACTCTCCTGGGAAACTTATAAACTCTAGGAGAGTAGCATCTTCCGTATGTTAGAACCAATATTCATCATTAAAAGGTTTTCATTGTGAGGGAATTCCTTTTTCTCCATTCAAGAATCATGGTAGTATCTCATTAAAATAAAGGTCAAAGTCAATTTTTCTTTCAGCTTTATTTCTGAAATGTTAGATACTACCTAACATTCATCCTACTTTTTCATATCTCCCTGGCAGACAGTTTATGATATTCTATTCGGCTTATATGAGGTTAGAAAAAAAATTGTGGGAGAAGTTTCTCAGGAGGTCAGCAAACCATTCTTCATGCTGGAGACAAACCACCTATGATATCTTTGAAAAGAATGTAATTTATTATTGTTGGGAACAAAATATACATTGTATGTTTCTCATACTGTGTTCCATTACATTGATCATCCATTAAATAAGTGTTTTCGTGTTGCAAAATTCATGGACAGGAAATGGTTTGAAAACAAGAGCCTTAAGTTCATAAAATAAGTTAGTAAACACACACCTCATGATCTCCCTACCTTTTTTCAGGGGAACGGGAGGGAGCCTTTAAAGAACCCAAGTTCTTAATACCAACTATCTTTTCTGCAATTACTTATAAAGCTACACATTTAGACCACTTCTTGTATCCTAAGAGATTCCAGGACCCCAAGAGATTGTTTCAATTTTTTATAAGAGAGAGTTCCATTTTAGCATAGTTATTTGAATAGGATTTTTTAAAGGGAAAAAAAGGGGAATTATTAGCATTTAAGAAATGCCCCACATTAAGTTCTTGGTGTTTTGATTCAGATTCACTAAAATTGTTTTATAATTAAGAAAACCAAAGTCACAGTAATCAAATTATCTTTTTTAAGCAGAGATGTTCTATAGAGGCTTTGGTCAGAACTTTGTGTCATACTTGGTATTATACCAAGTTGGATTTTGTTAATTTAGTTAGGAGCTTTGAACACCAAGTTACCAGATAGAAGACGCTGAGAGTGGTGGCTCGCAGTAATTCTCCTCCCTGTCATGCACCTCTCCATGTCCCCTTTCCTCCTTTCTCACTTTAGCCGTAATCCTCCACCAGGGACGTTTACTGGGGCTGAGGGGTAAGTGCACATCCTGAACCAAACTCTTCTTCCCGGCTTCTTGTAGCCACTGTGAGGCTGTTCCCACTTCTAGAATACTTTCTTGAATGTTCCTAAATGTCATCCACTGCAGTCACTGCATTGCAGCAGGTTTTTTGTTTTGTTTTTTTTTAATGTTTGTAACATGGCCACCAAACTGCTCAGCAGCTTAGTCTATTTATCATCTTTTGTTGCAGCTGAACTTTCTTTCAGACTTTTCCTTCCAATAAAAACATGCAACATTTCTTAAAACTGTCATTAATCTACATTGTTTACTCTTGCTACAGATCATGTTTCTTTCATTCACTTACTGGCCCATGGAATGGGGATGTTTTGTGAGTCTGGTCGTTCTAACACAATCCAGCAAACCGTCAGTCTGGTGTAAATAAAAGCTACTTTATTATAGTGACTGGATTCTTTTAAGCACAGCTTTTTTCCACGCCTCTCAAGAGAAATATTCTTACCATAACACGTTGCCATTGAGTCGATTCCGACTCCTAGCGACCCTGTAAGACAGAGTAGAACTGCCCCATAGGGTTTCAAAGGCTGTAATCTTTATGGGAGCAGACTGCCACATCTTTCTCTCGAGGAGCAGCTGGTAGGTTCAAACCGCTGACCTTTAGGTTAGCAGCCAAGTGCTTAACCACTGTGCCACCAGGGCTCCTTATTCTTACAATAGGGGAGAAAAATCAGGAGTCAGAATCGACTCAACGCAACTAACAGTAACAACAACAAACTAAAGAAAGATTTTATTTTAAAAAATACACCCATCTACTTTGGACTGTATAGTCAGATACGTTTCTAAAATGGGGATTAAAACAAAACAAAACAGATAAATCTGTTTTCTTTTGTTAATTAAAATGACTTTTTAAAATTTAATAGATGTGTTTAAATACTAAACTTAGTTATTGCTAGACTGGCAAAATCCCCTACTCCATTTACTGAGGTACTTAAAATAACTAGCATGCTATGTCTCTTTTTTTCCAGCTTTGTCTTGAATTGGCATTGCTGCCCTTATTTTATTTATCTCAACTGCCTGTAGCTTTTAGATATCATAAGGATTAACCAGTAACCTCTTATGTCATTACTATTTTCTAGGGGAAAATATTTGGTATTTGATTTTTCTGTTGCAGCAAATAAAACCTCAGGAGCACCAGGTAATCGTCCTGGAAGTGTAATCCGTGTATATGGTGATGAAAACAGTGATAAAGTGACTCCAGGGACATTTATACCTTATTGTTCAATGGCTCATGCACAGCTCTGCTTCCATGGGCACCGGGATGCTGTGAAATTCTTTGTGGCAGTCCCAGGTGAGTGTGAAAAGTTCCATGTACTTGTCTCTGTTCTGTCCTCCTTGACTCCACTACACAGTTACTTAGTCTATGCTGAGTACTGGAATTCAATATAGAAAATTCCAAAATAATACATGAAGCAAGTTCTATAATGGAGGTATGAATAAAGTGCTATAGGGAATGAATGTTATTTTGAGTGAAGTTATTTTGGAATCTCCTTCCCAACCTTTGATTTTTATTTAAGAGGCTTGCTTGCTTTTGAAAGCAATGCTATTATTTTGTCACATCAGAATGCCTAAAATGCTCTTGGCCTGATGCAGGAAATTTGGTAGAAGGAAGCCCATATCATCAGAGCCGCATGCAGGAGGTGAAAAGTGTGCTCTGGTACCTTTAGCAGTGCTGTGATAACAAGCAGTGGACTAAAAGCCTGAGTGTCTGGGCCCTCTGTCTCTACCAATCACTGCCTTGTCTTGAGCAAGTCACTTAACCTCTGAGACTCATTTCCCCATTTCCTAAGTGGATGTGACTATCTGCCCTGCCTACCTTGTTTGTTGTGAAAATTAATGAAGGTGCTTTGGGGACTATAGAGCAGCATCCAGATGAAAGGTGGTAGTAGTGATGTCCAGTGAAAAATGTTCTGTCCTTTGAGAATGCTAAAGTGATGTTACTGAGCATGTAAGCAGGACCTGTGTTTTAGGAGTAGTTAGAGTTCAGATCTGGTTTTACTACTCCAACTAGCTGTGTGACTTTGAACATGGTAGTGTCTCAATTTTCCAGAGGTGTTCCAGAGGTGAAATGATTAAATGTTTATACAGCACAGGGGCTGGCACATAGCACCCTAACCAGTTATTCACTGTCCTTAAGAACATGGTAATGAGCTCCCTGAAACATCTTGTATATCTGTGTAATTATTTCCTTAGGATAAATTCCTGCAGGTGGAATTGCTGGTAATGGTGTTTTTCTTTCTTTTTCAAAGAAATAAAATGTTACAGAGTCCCCTTTATATCTTTCTCATTCCCTTCCCTTTTTTTTCTCTGCTGGTAACAGCTATCCTGAAGCTGATATGTACACTTCTGCCCATGCTTTGTATTTTTGCTACATTTGAATATATCCATAAACAATATATAGTGTTTTTTGTTTTTGAACTTTACTTAAATATTCTAATGTAGCATATGTATTCTGCTTCTCATTTTTTGGTTTATTAATCTTTATACATAAATATTTAGTTCATTCTTAACTATGATATTCTAACATCTTAATACATTGCTACATTTTATTCATTCTCCTGTTGATGAGGCTCTAGGTTTTCTCCCCCACTATTAAAGGCAGTATTGCAGTGAACCTTCTTGTGCCTATATGCAAACCTGCTAGAGAGTACTTCTATTAGTAGACAAGTAGACTGATTAGTTCTGTCACAGAAGGAGAGAACAGTGACATAATAATAAGTCCAACCTGAATGATTTAATCCTTGCGGTCATTGGCCTCACACCAGAAAACACTGTTGCCAGTTTGACTCTAGATTTATGCTCAGCAGGCTTGATTTCTTCCAAAGTATAACTGAGGAATGTATGAATGAAGTACTGTGGGGATAAATCAAACTGTGCTTTCCACTTTCAATATAAATTAATTTTTATTAAGTGTATTGCATCACATGACTGTACCCTGCTATCTCCTGGAGGCACCGTCTATGTAGTTTGACCAAAGGAGAGCAAACTCTGACAAAAAACAAACAAAAACCCATGGTCAAAGCTCTGGAAAAGTGATGCTTTAGAGATTATAGTGACAATGATATTTAAGTTTCTCTTTCTACCTTTTTATCATTCTTTTTTTTTTTAAATTGTGCTTTATGTGAAGATTTACGCAGCAAGTTAGTTTCCCATTCAATAGTTTATACACAGATTGTTCCATGACATAAGTTGCACTCCCTGCAGTGTGTCAGCACTCTCCCCATTACCATGAGTTCCCTATTTCCATTCATCAGGTTTTCCTGCTGCTTCCTGACTTCTCATCTTTGCTTTGGGGCATATGTTGTCCTTTTGGTTTCATGTAGATGATTGTTCTAAGGAGCACTTTCCTTATTGGTGTTATTGTTTATTTATAGACCTGTCTGTTATTTGGCTTGTAAGGTGATCTCCAGGAAGGGCTTCATTTCCAAGTTAGAAGGGTGTCCAAGGGCTATAGTCTCCGGAGTTCCTCCAGTCTCTCTCAGACCAATAAATCTGGTCTTTTTTTATGATATGAATGTGAATTTTGTTCTACATTTTTCCCCCCACTCTAACCAGGACCTTCTGTTGTGATCCTGGTCAGAGCAGTCAATAGTGGTAGCCGGGCACCATCTAGTTCTTCTAGTCTTAGGCTGGTGGAGGCTGTGGTTCCTGTGGTCCGTTAGTCCTTTGGACTAATGTTTCCTCAAGTCTTTGGTTTTCTTCATTCTCCTTTGCTCTGGATGGAAAGAGACCAATAGTTGTAGTCGAACTTTTCATTCTTAAGAGCTCTACCTTAGAACTTGAACTTTAGAGCAAATGGTAATTTACCAGTAATTTTATTTGCATAAACTACATTAAAAATAAGATGTACTTTTATTAAATATGAGAAGAAAGCCATTGATTTGTAATAAATTTAAATATTAATTATCAATATCCAAACTCCTAAGGCTTAATTTTAAGACTTTTTCTCAGTCTCTTACACAAATATTGACATACTCTACGGGGAGAGAGACCTTTGCACTGTGCCTCAGATCAAATGACATAGATTGCAATAGATTAAAGCAGGCAGCTAAGAACAGCCTGCTCACACGCATATCTCACACTGGATTTTGGACCTATTCCTGCTTTGGTACAAAATTGCTTTACTTAGATTTTCAAATTGGACTCTTGAGACCCTCATATAGACATTTTCTGATCATGCAGAGGCCTACAACCTACCAAGTACTTTTAGAATATACTTAACCTTTTTTGTTCAACTCTCTGAAAATATTCTGGGTTGGGGGGAGTCTCTCCTACCCCCATCTGTGATATATAATATTCCTTCTGTTCCTGTATATAATAGGTCAAGTCATCAGCCCACAAAGTGGCAGTAGTGGCACCGATCTTGCAGCTGACAAAGCAGGGCCATCTGCACAGGAGCCTGGCAGCCAGACGCCCTTGAAGTCTATGCTGGTCATCAGTGGAGGAGAGGGCTACATTGACTTCCGCATGGGTGAGTCCTTGGTTCTGGGAGACACACTTGAAGTCTGTAGTGGTTGTCAGTTGGAGGAGAGGGCCACTTTGACTTCTGCAGGAGTGAGTCCTTGATTCTGGAGTTCGGGTCCTCGGTGGAGGAGAGGGCTACATTGACTTCCGGAGGGGTGAATCCTTGCTTCTGCAGCTTGGGTCCTCAGTGGAGGAGAGGGCCACATTGAGTTCCACAGGGGTGAGTCCTTGGATCTGGAGCTCAGGTCCCACTGTGTTCTGTGACTTGGCTTTTCACCCACAGTAAACAAGAAACTACTCTGATGACTGATTTCTAAGAGGATCTCTTTGAATTCTTTACTTGGGAAAGGACTTTGTATTTCTCTTTTATACCACAGTGTATCTGTTTGAAAGAGCATTAGAAAATAGCAGGGTATAGTCGTGTCTTGATGTGTGTGTAAAGAGAATAAGCTTTAGAGTCAGAAGGCCTTGGGCAAATCATTCAACCTCTCAGAGCCTCATCTTCAGCTGCAAAACAGAGATAATAAAAATACTTCATAAAGTGGTTGTTTGCATCACAATTGATTTTTTTTTTAACCTTACAGGCATTGAGTATCCACTATGTGCCTAGCAGCCTTAAATTTGAAATACCGACAAAGCCTCCCTCCAGTAGATAATAGAACAGTGCAGAGATACAGACATGTTAATAAATTAAAGTATTATAGATGCTTTTATGGGAAGTAGTTCAGTTCTTCCAGGGGTAAGGGAGAAAGAAGTCAAGAGATGATGCTTGAGGTAACTCAACACTGGATAGTTTAGTCTAAAGGATTGGATTGAGGAATGGGATGAGGAGAGTTGGGGATTCGCATTCAAAAGTAAGAGAATAGCTTGACCAAAGGCTTAGAGAGGTGAAACCATCTTAACTGAAGAAAAGCTATTTTTAAATGACTGGAGCATGGGGTAGAAGAAAGTACAAATTTGACCAGAGATACATCTAAAGAGGAAGGGAGTGGCTGGATTATGAAAGGCTTTATATACCAAATTAAGGAGTTTGCACTTTATCCTCCAAGCAAGAGGGTAGCATTGGAGGACTTGAAGTACAGGAGCAATATGATTAGATTTGTATGGAAGATGGATTGGAGGTACAGACTAGAGATAGGGAGATCAATCAGAAGGAAATGAACACCTGAGTAAGGCAGTGGGAATAAATAAGAAATATGGTAGGGAATTGGTAACTAATAGGATGTGGGGAAAGAGGAAGAGACCTAGGGTAACTCCCATGTTCTGGGTGACCATTTACCCAGAGATAAGGACTACCAGAAGAGAAGAAGCAGACCTGGGGGAAGGAAAAGAGGAATTCAGCCTTGGACATATGAACTTTGAAGAGCATGGGTATTATCTAGATGGAAGATCTCTGTTGGGCTTTTGGGTAGAAGGGTTTTATATCTCAGGAGGGAGGGATTTGAGGGCCGTTGGCATGCAGTAGTAGTAAAAACCATGAGTGTAGGAGTTCACCCAAGGAGAGTATGTAGGAGCTAAAAGAAAAGATTCTAGGGTAGAACCCTGAATTAATTCTCCACTTAAAGGATCATCGGAATTTATGAAGGGTTCTGAAAAGGAATGATCAGAGAGGTCAAAGAAAACAGTGAGAATTGATTGTTGTGACAGTGCAGTTCTTTGTAAACTGTAAAGCACTGTGGAGGTGTAGATTTATTTATTTGCTATAAACAAAGGGATCCCCTGAACTACCTGAAATCCCAGTGATTTAAAAAGTTCCTAAACCTAAGGCTCCACATGGTTTTTGAAAATATAATAATATTGTTGATCAGTGACAAATACCTATTTTAGGTATGCATTCTGTAAGAATAGGGTGTAAAATTTAGGGTCATATAAATGATAATGTGCCACATATGGTTAGTATAAACTGAAATAGCTTATATAAAGGGCTTATTGACATATTTTTAAGGGGGGTATTAAATGTTAAATTTAGAAATTCTGGTGATGTCAGCAGGAATGGAGTCATTTCAGTGTGTTTTAAATTGACTTGGTACAGAATTCCTTTATAGAAAGAAATTCTCCATTTGGCTGGGTTGGAGAAAACTCCATTTGGCTGGGGTGATTTTTAGAGCTTTGTCTTGGAGTGCAGTGTGGCAGTTGGAACCATACTAAGGAGTATGCTGATAAATTCTCTGTGGTTTTTCCATTTCCACTAAAAATTCCTTCCATTGTGGATCCTAAAAACAGCACAAAATTGCTTAACCAGTTTTTGGCAGTATCTCTAGTTAATCCAACCTGAAAAGTAGACATCTTTAAGCATAGGCTGATTTTAATAGTGAATATGCTTTGATCTTTTTTTGTTCCATTTTTATTACTATAATTTTTTAGCAGTGAGAAATTGATCCTTACAGTCTCATATTTTTAATGGTTTAACTTTAAATCCTAGGATGTAGAGACCCTAGGAGCAGGATAATTTTTTTTTTTTTTTTTGTAAATAGAATCTTCAAAACAAGTCAAAGAACAAATGCAAACAATTTTCTGTCTCAGCCAAATAATTTGTCATTATCATTGTAATATTTTTAAATTTAGGAGCCACACTTATTTTTTTTACATTCTAACCACCTGATTATAATTCAGTTCAGAAATTGACTTTTGTCCTGAGCCTTTTAAAGCATACTCCTTTCCACAGTTTGAGATTGCTGTGAAAAGATCACTAGGGAGTAGGTAAGGGAGAGTTTGGCCTTCAGAGAAAAATGCAAATATTTAGGTTTTTTTCTCTACCACTGTTTCTAGTCAACAGTGTCAATATTTTTGGTCCAGCTGAAATTCAGGTGAGGCATAATACAGCATTCCAGGAGATCAGCAGCCGATCTTTGTCTGTTGATATGCAAGTTTTTATTCTGCTGAAGAATCCATCCTGCTAGATGAGTTGTCACTGGGTTGTTCCAGAACAACCCAACTCAGCAACAACAAAACTAATTGATGCAAGCTTGTAGAGAGGAACACTGAGGCTTGGAAGCCAGTGTCTTTGATCAGGACCTCATTTATTAACCTTTCGAGAAGCGTGGGACACATGGTGTCCCACCCATTTTTTATGTCTCTGGAGTTCTTTGGAAAGGAGGTAGCCTGATTATAACATGTTTAGCCTCAAGATGGGAGCCTTCTGAAATGTGTGAAACTCAAGGACCCTGAGTTGGAGCCTCATTTTTGTGTAGATGGAGCGTTGTCTTAAGTGATACTTCCCGGATATGTGAATTTTCTAAATTTTTAACAGGTTTGCCTGTATTTCTGTATTTCTGTGAGATAAGCCTCCTTACAATGTTTCCCAGTTACTGTATTCTCATATGAGAATGTATTTATCACAAGAATAAGCTATTGCTAGTCTTCATTCAGTCATAGTGGCCATTTTCTCCTTTATGCCATTCTTTGTTTCCAGATGTTGCTGGCTCCCTGCTTTTCTAGCTTCTGAACAGTAAATAATGCCTTTGTAGTAAGGAATAATGCATTACAGTGGTACTTTTCAAGAGATTGGAACTCCTATAAGTTATTCTTATCCTGCATTCAATCTTAAGGCCCAGTCATTGCTTCCACATGTAGCAGGTGGAATGCACCATTGTGAGCAGTTCTGTAGTATTCTGGGGCAGCTGTTTCTGCTTCTTAGCTGTTAGTACTGCTTTTGTTATAATGAAGAATACATAGTACTGGTAATTTTCCTGAGATTCAAATTCCTTTAGTTTTATTTATTTGGCCTGTAAGTACTGCTTTTGCAGTAAGGAAGAAGGCATTGTACCATGTTTTGAAAAGTTTCATGAAAAAAATTAAAAGGATAAGAAGAAGGCAACTAGAATAAAGTGTATGTGCAGTCACTGCCAGGTGCCATCATGTTTTACCTCATGTTTTGCAAATTTTCAAGAAATAAAATGTAAAAAAATTTAAAGAACCCAATTTTATCATTGACTGGTAACAGCAGGATTTACGTCATCAAGGGTTTGCTAGGAAACATGTGATCCCAGATAATGAGTATCAAAATCCATAACTCATAACAAAAATTCTGAATTGGTCCTTTAATCAGCATGCGTTCATTAGTGAAAACACATAGTATCAACAGAAAATTCAAAGGAGAAAATAACTAGGTCTTGAAAGGGTTGAATTAACTCAGCTACCTCTTAGAAAAACATCTAGCCTATCATTTCTTCCTCTCTACCATACATTGTTAATTCATAACCTATCCTAAGCTTGAAAATCATTGGAGAAAACACCTAGTATATTAGGTAATCGGTTTGCCTTCTTGTGCTGCTAGGAGGCAGTTTTGGTTTCCATATGCCTGTATCAATTATCTTCTGCTGGAGAACCTCACTCCTATCACTGATAATAAGCATGAGCTGTTTAGGTTTAGTTAATTTGTATGCTCTATACCTGTGCTTGCTCATTTATAGTACTGCCTGGTCTCAATTCTTGGTTTGAAATAAACAAGAAGAGACTCTATCCATTTTGAATGAGCACAGGAGTAGACAGCTTTGCCTTTTTAGCTTCCCATTTTTGTTAACCTCAGTATGCAGACATATTGGGATGAGTTTCCAATATCGTATAGTGAACTCGCCTATACAAATGCAGGTAGTCCCCGACTTAAATGACAGGGTTTTGTTCTGATGACTCCGTGGTTAATTGGTTCTGACATCAGTTGAATACCTTTATTTTTTTTTTAGTTTTCATTATTATCAGTATCTTTATAAATCTGATCTTTGAATGTCTTCATGTGAACATCTGAGTGATAACATCGGCAAATTATGTGCTGCAACATTGTATGTAGTAAGTGTTACTAACAATAAGATGTACAAAAAAAAGCAAACAAATGGTCATTCTTAAGTACGGTTTGTCATAACTTGAATACAGTCATAAGTTGGGGACTACTTGTAATCTGAAAAATGAGTTTACCTTTTCAGAAGTTAGGAAGTGGCTTAAGTGAAGATTCCAACCCATGACATTTCTCTTATTTTAAATAACAGTGTTCTCCGAAATGGCAGTCAGATAGGTTCTGTGCATCCTATCCTGTTCATGGACTAACATGAACACTGGGTGTGATTCACATCGGCCTGCATTTTCCATACTCAGCCTAACTTGAGTCTCCTTGTCATCCACCAGGTGATGAAGGTGGAGAATCAGAACTTCTCGGAGAGGATCTTCCACTTGAACCTTCTCTTGCCAAAGCAGAAAGGAGTCACTTGATAGTGTGGCAAGTGATGTATGGCAGTGAGTGAGGAAACAGATGAATGTGGGGAAGCCGTCTCTTCTGCATGGTTTATTTTTCTCTTTCCCCCTTTATTTAATGCTCTTTTTGTGAAATAAGTTTCACCACATAATGTATGAGCATTTTTTCCCAGTTAACTTTATATTACAAAATCTGTCCACCATAACAATACAGGAGCTAGCTGTTTTACTGCACCAGTGTTATAGGCAATTTCAGTATGTTATGAACAAATCAAAGAATGTTTACTTGCTGCAACCTGGTGAACTACAGAAAGCAATCCAGATGTGGTTTACTCTGCCATGGTCTAATGTCAGTCACTTTGTTCGATGGGGTCACTTTTCAGCTGTCACTAATAATGGAATTAATGGAAAACACTTAATAAATTAAACTGTACCACTAAGTACAATAGCAGAGTTTTCCCCAAAGTATTATAAAACTGACACAAACTAATATCAGGTGGATTATCAGGATTTATCTAAATGTCTTGAGAGAGCTAAAAGCTAACTGTAAATGACTTTACCTTTCACTTTCAAATCTGACAAATCTTGTTTATATCGTATATAAACCATTGTTTTCATCAGATTTTGGGGGGGTTTATATTAAAGAAATTAAGACAACACTATTGAAATAAAAGCTTCCTGTTTCTGACTTACTAGAGCTCTAAAGTCTATGAGGCCTGCTTCTCTGATCCTTTTTTTCTTGAGACTAGACTCATTTTCATACTGACATGTCTAGAAAGTTTATTATTTATAAAACTTAAAAGATCCTCTTCAGCACTGAGAGGATTTTTAAAAAGGAAATTGTGTTTCGTATTCCTCATACCAGAGGATGGACGTGGCTGGCTGAGTTTTTTCTATGTGAAAATTCCCCTGTTCACCAGCTGTTCCTGCACTGCTCTTACCTGGTAGTAAGAGTGAGGAAAGATGTAGAGGTGATGGAGCCTGGCCTAACCAACTGAATGAGGGATATGACTAGAAAAGGATTTTTTCTGTTCTGTATAAAACTGTAGAACAGCCAGTGCTTGGTATTTTGTATGTAAATAACACATTTAAGCTTTTGTGCCCTTTTGAAATTAAAATGTCATCTTCAAAAGGGAAAACTTTGTAAGGGATAAAAACAAAGCTAAGATATCATAAAGTAAAGATTGACATTACATCTTTTTATTCACAAGGCCCATTTTAAAAAATAGATTAGAATCTAGTTTTAACTGATTTTCCTGTTTAATAAGTTTTTAAAAACACAGAGCTGCAATTTTTTCCCTCTCAAGCTTCTTGAAAATGCGATTTACCGTTTCTTATCCATTGATTTAAGCAAAGCTGAATGTAAATTCAAGTGCTATTTTTTTAAACATAAACCTATAAAATAAAGCCCTTCCCCCTAATCATCAGAAAGATTACTTCAAAAAAAGAAAAAAAAAACCACAAATCTCAGATTGCTTAAGCATTCTTAAGTACCAAGGGTTTTTTCTGGACTATCATGCAAAGATATATGTAAAAAGTACATCAGTGACTTTTATTCATATATGTGCTTAGGCTAGATTTACAAAATACATGAGATTTAATGAGCTGGAGGAGGCCTTTGGTTCCATGTGGCCACATGTGTCTAAGCACATTGTGTATACAATAAAATTGTGGCCACTTTAAATAGCTAGAAGAAAAAACTCTTTTGGTAAAAGCTGCATTAAAAGGATAATTTTTTTGCTACAGCTACTTAGTCATTTTTCTTTAGGGCACTAAAACTTAGGCCACTTTTCCATAGCTTGTTTGCTATGTTTTCATTTTACTTTAAGTCAGAGGCATTTTTGGCAGTACCTTAAAAAGCATTATTAAACATTTATTGGAAATGTTGTATAAGTTCACAAGAGAGAGACACCAAAGTGTTTGGGATTTCTAGTCCCAAGAAATAAACATCCTAGAGTCAGACCCACTTGCTGTTGTTTTGCCTTTTACATGTTTGTATGACTGAATGTAATTTGGGGAATCAGGAGTTAAAGATGAAAAATGCAAACATGTTACAATGTTTGTAATTGCTCTTTTTAAACCTACTGGCTTTAGTTAAAGGTATATAGGTGTGTAATTATTTTATCTAAAGATGTCAGATTATTTGTGGCCCCGTTACATCATTTCAGGGACCAGAGAGGATTCAAATGCCTGTACAGTTTTAACAGCTTGTACTTGTGTTTGTCATTTCAGTTAAACATTTTCTTCGTATTGCTTCACACACACACACCACCTCACCCCAAGAACAGGTTTATATTCTTGTATTGTTCATCTTGGTCCAGATGGTAGCCTTTGGGAGAAAACGCCAAAATGTAAGCTTTTGCAAGCAGCAAAGAGGGTGTAATCTGCCTGTAGCTACCATGTCAGGGGCAGAGAAGAGGCTTGAGTACCCATGGTTGGTATCTGTGTAAAAAAATTTTACTCTTATAGGAAGAAAGAAGGGATACCCGAGGATTCTCATTTTGTTGCACTTGGGTCATGTATGAGGCTGAACCATATGAAATTGCTGATATTTGACCATTGGTGATCTACAAAAAAGGCAATATCATATGCATCAACCTAATACTTACTGTAAATTCAGGTTAAAATCCCTGTGAGGCAAAGGGAGAATGTTCTCTACGAACTCAGTTTTGAGAGTGTTTTCTCTAACTCATGTGGATCTAAATTTTTAAAATAGGAACGAATCTTTTAATAGCTACAGCTTGTTGAGAGTATAAAACAATTTTGAGCACAAAATATGCAGCACATAATTTTTCAGATTAAGTGCATTTGCATAGAAAAGCTGAAAATAACAGTCTCTTGGCTGTTGTGTTGTTCATTTCTTGTAAAGGTCTTCCTGTATTTGAGAATAGACCCTTCAACATAGGCTGCCTTCGTAACAAAACAAAACAAAAAATGTCTCTACTGTTTTAAAGAATGTGTGTCGTGCAAATGCTGTGGAACTGAGTATTTATTTCCTTGTGAGTATTATGATGGTTACCAAAGGACTCAGCCAGACTTAGCACTCTTCTTCATTGATCATGTTGAGAAAGGGACTCATTTGGTCCCAGTTTGTAACATGGGAAAAGTAGGAGGAGAGAGAATTAAATGTAGAAATCATAAATGCTTTCTAACAGGGTTATGCTATATTGTAACACTAAGTGTCTTTTTTCTTTCTCTTAAAAAATTAAGTTTTTATTATTAATTTTGTCATAATTTCTTAATATTTGAATATATTTTAACCATTTATGTTCTAAATTTGTTTTTTGTCCTAGACATTTTATCCAAAATTTTACTTGCCTCTATAATCTGAAAAATGGGTACTAGCGTCCCACTTGCTGTCTGTTAGAGGCCAAGGCTTCATTTCTACGAGCAAAAAGCTCACTTAGCAGTGTAGTTATTTCAGTATTTATTTCTATTATGGAACCCCTGGGGTTCGGAATGTAACTTTGTACATGAAATATATATAAATATGTATATGAAACATGTATGAGGTTGAGTGTGTTTTGTTTTTGCCTTTCACTCGGGAACCTCAACTTGGTTCTTATTTGAAAGTCAAGTAATCTCCCCCATCAGACACGTCGCTTCTGAGGATCAGGACTGTCGCCATTTGGCACTGGCTGAAGGTGAGCAGTGGGGAATACTCATGAAGAACATGTCTGCTTGGCTCACGTGTTCGAATGAGACAATTGGGCTTTCTAGAAATGTGGAAGCTCTGAGTCACAATCCACACATGATACTAAGGTATAGCGTTTGCCAAATTACTCAGTAATAATAGGCAGGTTGTAATGTACATTTTAATAATATGGTGTGCTTATTTGGGATCCACTTGTGGGAGATTCTGAAAGGAAGGATGATTATAAAACTAATCATGTGTTAGCACATTGTGAATCCATATTCAGTGCAGCGGTATTTAATCTAGTGTATATTGTCTATGTCTACGAGAATCACGGAGGTCTAACGTGATGGTAAAAGCAGCCCTGAATGGCACGTTAGTAGAACCGTTCACTAGATGAAGGCACAGCCATCTGTCCAGTGAGGTAGATACTCTAGAATATGATGAATAGCCTGGCTTATTCCTAGACTTTACAGGATCTTACTCTAACTGCCCTTTGTCCTCTGGGGCCTGCCAAGTCATTGTTTTGGAAACTGATTAATTCTTTTGAGCCTCATTCAGACATCTTCCTGATCTGGCCTGTCTAGTGAGAGGCAAGAGTGGCCATGAAGGACAGGAACATCAGTTTTAATTTTGTTGGGGGAACAGGGCAGGAGTGCTCCTCATAACTGAACTGTAGCCTGCAATCCCCCCTCCCCAGCAGTAGAACTGTCTTCCAAACCTTAGTGGAGCAATATTGCTTAAGCCTGCAAGCTCTTCCTTAATCAACCCCAGACCCTCATGTTCAGTGTGGGTGTGAAAACCCTGGCTATCACAAAAAGCCATGGATTTAATTTTCAGCAGCTGCCAATTTGTTAGGAAAGCGCTATCAAGGTTTTATAGTTAGGGGGGGCTTCTCAGAATGCCTTAAATATTAGATAATTAATACAATTTAGTTTTAAATTCATTTTCTTTAGTGGTATAGTGGGAAAGACGGCTGCAGACCTAGGTTCTGCCCCTACAGTGACCCCGAGCAAATCACTTTAACACAGCATACCCCAGAATCACCTACAAAGGCATAAAACTCCACCCCAGACCTATTGAATTGGACTGTCTTTGCGGGGTCTGACCCAGCCATCTGTACAGTGTCGTAGGTAAGTAATATGTAGCTTAGATTGAGGGATAGTGCTTTAATATCTGGGACCTTAGTTCTCTCATTTATTAAAGGAGAATGGTTTAGCCGGCTGAACTAAAAAAATCCTAGCTCTAAATATCCCTGGCCTATGACCCTAGTTCTGATATGCCTTGGTTTGTTGGCTCTACAGAGTAGAACCATACCTGATTGCAGTCCCAGGGTTGCCCAATCCGCATGAAGCCATGGGGTAGTTTACTTTTTAAACATCCAAGTATCTGGTGGGTAGGATTTGATTTCTTAGAATTTCCAACTTATCAGAATAGCACTTTATGAAAGACGCCAGATAGTTCAGCTCCTTCCTGTTAGCCCCGAACAAGCAGAGCATCGACTCCCAGCCACAGACAAAGGGTGTGATGATTCGATTTGAGGCCTCAAGGAGAAGGGGACAGACAAGCCCCAGCTCGGTGATAGCTCTTCTCCCAGGGACAGGAAACTTGCTTAAAAGCTGCAGTTCTCAACCAGGCCAGGAGAGGGGAGGGTGGCCAGAATCACCCGGGGAACTTTTCCATAATACACGTTTTTTCCTTCTTCCTTTTGGAAGTATCAGACTCTACTGGTGTATTTGGAAAAAAATAGTTACCCAGATGATGCTGATCCTCCCATAGCGAGCAGCTGTATAAGAGGAACTCGGGAGCCAGCCCAGCTGCATTCACAGCATCTGTTTTCCAGGAGCACAAAGCTTCATTCATTCTTAGCTGGTTATAACCAGCACATGGTGACCTGCCAGCAGGCTTACCCCAGGTTTAACCTAATACCCTTTCCTTTTTTGTTCACAGATAAAGGAAGTTTGGGCTACTTTGAACTTACTGGTACAATAAAAGCTTAAAGGTCTATTTCATCTCCCATTAGTCCACGTTCACTTGGCAAGACTCTTTGAGGATTTTTCATGGAGAAAAGCCATAACCCTTTAATTGTTATCATGACTGACTTCTGTTTGCATAACGTGTAACACTTTTTAAAAAGTATTTACCCCATAAATTTGCATGTGACCCACAGAGCAACCCTCTGGGAGTGTATTATTATCGTCAGGTGATCCAGAGGCCTGGCCAGAGGAAGGGCCTTGCCCACTGGTAAACAGGTCCAACTGAGATGAGTGAAGCCTCAAGTTTCTAGTTGGAGGGTGTAACGAGATTAACTCAACACTAGAGGTTACTTCAGGGTGTTGGGGAAAGTACTAGATCTCAAGTCAGAAGACCTGGGTTTGAATCCTGGCTCTATCATTTCCTAATTTTGTGACCCTTTACTAGTCACTTAACTATTCAGTTTCCTTAATGTAAAAAAGAGAATAGCATCTCCAAAGGGTTCTTTCCTTGGCTAAATAATTTGTGTGGTAGCAATCAGCATGCCATCTGCCCCTAGTAGGCCCTGAACAGCAGACTTATGAAGTTTATAGGTGTTAGGTGTGTGAAGATGAGTTAGACACAGTTCCTACCCTCAAAAAAAAAAAAAGAAAAAGATTCCCTAGCAGAGGGAAGTAGACATGGAAATGATGACGTGTAATCAAGTATTGTAGCTGTACGTGAAGGAGTAGTTGGTGTAGTGTCTACTTGGGCTATTTTGTAATGTGATGAAAGCAAAAGAAATACTGTCTGCAATACCTGCTTCATGCAGAATATTCTAGTTCCCAGTCTGTTCATCAGTGTTCCAGACCTTGTCTGTCTTAAAAGAAGCGGAGGCACTTTGGGCCTATTGGACCTTTTAGGGAATACCTTTCTTTGCCACCCTCCCCCCTCTAATGTAAGAGAAAATGGTGTTCCATGAAAATTAAACACGTGAGATCCATATTCTCTCTTGCATTTAAGAGTTAATTTTATTCCTATGCAGGCACGCTGAGGATGAGGAACACGCTGAAGCATAAAAGTAGTAATAATTTTGACACTTAGATGCTTTCAAAATGTATTTATTCAATATCAGTTCATAATGCCTTATTAAAGCAAACTCACAGACACTACATATAAACGAGTAGAGAGCAAACGTACAGAACTAAATAGATTGTCAACATCAGATGCACAACAGGGTGTGAAATGGTGGCAAGGAGTGTTATATGCTTTCCATGTGATTACAAAGCTTAGCATTACCTCTTTCCCAAGCCAGAATGCAAATCTCCGTCTGTTAAGATTTTTGCAGGCAGGTCAGGTGCAAAGACACCCAAAGAGAGTAGAGTTTCAACAACTCAGATTTCCTCATCAGTAGTATTATAATAATGATATCTCCTTGACAGGATTGTTGAAGATTAAATGGGATAATATAAAGTACATACAAAACAAGTATTTGTATCCTTCCCCCACTAAAGCCTTGATTTCATTTCTTACTATCCTTTCTCATCAAGCTTATTTTCCCCTACCTTTGGCCCCAGACGGGGGACAGTGGTTTCTTTGAGTTCCAACTCTGGGAGTGAATTTTCAACAGTGATGCCCTTATTTGCCTATTGCTACATCTTGGGCCTGCTTATGGTTCTGTGGAAGCAGGCTTATATTGTGTAGACCATTTATATTTCTGTCTTGGAGAGTTTACCTGGGGCTGTTAGTAAGGGACTAGGATTTGGCATGTTCTTTAGCAGAAAGGAGCTCCGTATTGATTCTCAGAGGCATCTCGAGCGTTGTCCTGAGGAACCTGAATGGAGATGAGCAGAAACTGGGCAAAGATGTTTGTAAGGCCTTGAGACCCAGTCCTAGGCTTCAGCCAGTTGAGGGTTTATCAGACCATCCCACCCTATATTAAGGTCATGCTTTTGGGGGCCCACTTTAACAGCCCTTCCTTCTAAAGAACCCTGTGGCATGATATGATGCGAGCCAGAAGTCTACATGTCAAAAACTAAGTCATGATAAAGAATGCTTGATTCTAGCCCCTTCCCTGCCAATGGCCCAGCAAAATCTCTCTGGGACCTCAGTTTCCCTCATCTGTAGAAGAGAGACTTGGCTCAGATGAGCTCTAAGGCTGCTACTTTGTGGGCGGGTCAGCTGTGCTAATGGATTATTAAAGAACTGGCCTCAGCAGTTGAGGTTGTGTAGACTAGTAGGCTTCGTGCCCAACTAGCTCCTAACGTTCACAAACGTACACAGATCCTTAAAGGAGGGAATTCATGTAGCCTACGCCTCTTGGAACAAATGGCTTTGTTTGATGCATCAAGGAATCACTTCTGTGGATGGATGAGAGGAATATGTCCTTAACAGGACACTGTTGCGTCCTCTGGGGCCTAAAGGAGAATCTTCTCCTTCTCCCTTAGGTGCCCATCTTTCCTTCTTGAATCTGGGGAGGGGTCACCAAGAGTCTGCTTTAGGATGGCATCTGAGGCTTCAGAGAACTTCTCCCTAAGTCCTCTGTGGCTCAGAGATGAAGCTTAATTAGGTAGGATCCTGGTTTCCCAATACCACCCCCTCTCAGAGCAAGAAATTAAGGGAGTGGGGGTGCCTGGGAAAGGAGAAGTGAACTTGCTTCACAAGCTGCCTTCCTAGGGAGAGGCTGGTCACTACTCCCTTTTGAACACAAGGTGGTGCCATATTGGTATAGCCTTCCACAGGTCAGCACCCCAAAGACTGCCAGCCCCACATTCCTCCCCTTCATCGTCACTGGGCTTTCCACCCCAGCAAGGTAGTCTAGGCCACGGAGAATGCTTACTGAGGGTCAAATTGTACAGATAAGGTAGACTAGTTCACTTTACTGACAAGCAAGCTGAGGCCCAGAGTAGCTCTTACCCAACAGCAGAAATCAGACTAGAATTCTTGACTCTTAGTTCTCTTTCCACTAAGCTGCCTCTAGATTCTCAGAACCCTGAGTTCTCCTCCTCACCCCTTTCAGTTCATTGGGGGCAGGGCAAACACTTTTTCCCATCCCCCATGAAGGCAGCCTACAGCCCAGGGACCCAAAGGGAGGGCAGGAGGTCCAGAGCTGGGACCACTGCTGAGGTGAGTCGGGGGTTGATATGGGTGAGAGAAACGTTGGCCCAAGGAATAAAAGAAGAGAATTTTTTAAAGCACCCACACCACCAATTTCTGGTCTTTGAAGTTGCAGAGAAAATGTCTGCAGCTGCTGCCTCTGAACAATGCTGAAGGGAACGTCGTGGAATCAGCTTAGTGAGTTGCTTCAATAGAAACTTCATCCAAGGCCGATAATAAATAGGAGTTACATAACTCAGCAGGTCACAGCACCAACTAAGCCTTTTATAGGCCATCAATCTACATTTATTTCCTGGATTTTATAACTGCTGCTGAAAAGGAAAAAAAGGAGGGGTGAGGATTAGGGGGAGAGAACCTATGTGACTAGAATAAGCCTCCAAGTCCACATGGCAGCTTTCACCGCATCCACGTCCAGTCTCCCACACACCACACAGTGCAGGCAGACACACGGCCTCATGCCCCCTGTCCTGAGCTGCTCTGAGGAGCCGTGTGCTTTAGGTTGCTCATTTTCTCTGTGGCCCTCAGTTTTCTGAGATGGCTGGGCTAGATGAGCCCTAGGGTCCTCTAAACATTAGGATCAATAGTGGGGATTAAGGTTGCTTCCCCCCCCCCCACCATCACCAATGTTAGGTGCAAGAAGCTGTTTAATCCTCTTGATGGAGGAGGGGGAAGAGCTTGAGGTCACCACATTGATGGAGACAGGAAAGGACCTGGATTGACGGCCCCCAGGAGGGAGATATGGTGAGGCTGACTCCCCCCACCCACCCAGACACCTGACATGTGGCACAGAGCACAGGGAGAGGGTTAGGGGGTCGAGTGGCAGACGGTAGCATTTGGAGCCTGACGTGGGTGAAGTTCAGGTCTGCCTTCTTCAAAGGGAGTAGACACAGGCCTGAGGGAAAGAAGCCTCTCCCAGCAGTGTTTGCCGTTCTCAATCCTGGGGAGTTTAATGCCTGAGAGGGCTCAGGGCTGCTGCAGGGTGCTGGGGGGAGGGGGCATGAATGCCCAAACTCCAGCTAACAGGCCATACACAGCCTCCTTCCCGCACCACCTTGGCGTCAGGGCGATCCCACCATCTTTTGGAAGCACCCAGTATAAAGCCGGCTGAGGAAGGGAAACCAAATCCGTTGCCATCGATTCTGACACATTGCAGAAAGACGCCTGGGGGAGGGGGATGTTGTCAGGAAGTTTACGACATTGGGAAGTGACAGGGAACTGTAAGGGAGTTGGGACACCAGAGGGCTCAGAGCCCCTGGGAGGAACCTTTGGTGAGCAGCAGCCAGACTCCCTGGCCCCTCTCCTTACGAGCCTGAGCCCAGAAATTTCATCTGGGAATCATGCCTCCAGCAAGAATCACATGTGAGGCCCAGGCTGCCCCTCCCCCAGTCCCTGCAGGAGAAGACTGGCAGAAGGCAGGGGCAGCCTGAGAAGGGACAGAGTGCCTGTATGAGGGGCGTAAGGGGGTGGGCAGCCCACCGGGACTGGTGGCAGAGCTAAGCTATTGCAGAAAAGGTGAAAGGTGTCATGTATCAGGAAAAACAAAATCTCAATAAAGAGAAAAATATTTCACCAGAGAAGAGACGTCCGTGGCAGGAGGTGCCTCCTACCCAGAGCACAGACCCTTTTGTTTGGCCCTTTGTATTTGTGCTCAATCCGTCAGATGTCCTTTGGCCTCCTCTTCCCCCTCCCCTCAGACCTTTGCCTTCCCCCCACCTCCTACCCCCCCCATCTCCCCACCCCCGCCCCTTCCTTTTCAGAAACAGCTGCATGCCTGGGCTTGTCCAAGGAGGCAGCTGGGTTTCCAGAGACACCGCTGCAGGAGGCTCCACCCACTCCCCAATCTGACACCATCACCAAGGTTTGGGAGGTGGTGGTGTCCTCCCTATTGGACAGGTGGGCTAAACTGTGCCCGGACATAGGGGTGCTTTTTAATCCCCCAGACTCAACAAGTGAGCAGTGCCAGAAAGGGTCTCAGGACCCCAGCTTTGCCCAGTGGCCTAACCCCCCACCACCCTCTCCAAAGCTAATCTAGTAATCTATTACAGTATACTTGAGTTGCATAAGCCAGCCAGGCAGAGCTCCGGGGGGCAGGGTGTGGGGATCCTGATTTGGGTACACCAAGCCCATCCCAGGGGAGGAGGTAGTGATTTATTTGGGGATGATTTTGGTAGAGGAGACACTTGCCCTCTTGGCTGCTGAGGCTGAAGGAGAACAAAGTGACGAGCTGAGGTGAGGGGCAGGGAGGGCCTGCCGGATGCTTGACTTGGCTTCGCATAACCTTCAAGGTTTTCTCGGTCATCCCCCTGCCTCTGTGCAGGACTGCACCTACACAAATCTTCTCTCCTACCTGGGTCTTGAGGCTGTATCTGAGGAGGGCTTTTGCCCCCCATTCTCTCCCTCCCCTCTCTCCTTTCCCCTTCATAAGTGCAGGTGAAAGGGGGGATGCCTTCCGTCTGTATGGGATCAGATGGGATGGTGCACATCGGCCCGATCTGATCAGACCGAGGCTTCAGAGAGGTGGAGCTGTGAGTCCTCAGTTTCCTTCCAGCTCCT